TGGAGTCACACTGCTGCCTGGGTTCAAATCCAAGCTCCACTGCTTATAAATTGGATGAACTTGTACTCCACTACTCAGATTTTCCCCCTGAAAAATGGGAATGATAGTTTTTAAAACTGTTGTAAAGATTTAAATGCCTGTAAAACCCAGAACTAGCCTGCAGTAGGCATCAAATAAATGTTCGCTGTTGCAGCTGTGGTTATAACTGGCTTTGCTGCCTAGTTCTTCCTATCCCCCTGGGGCTGGGCTGGGTTGTAGAGAGGAGTCGGGTAGCAGGCATAGCGGCATCTCCTGTCCTGAGAAGCCAGCCTAGCACTCAGGATGGGGAGCCTTCCTGCTTCACTCCATTAGAGCCGCTCTACTGACGAGCTCAGTTGGGGAGGGTCGGGGGATATCCCAATTTCCTTTGTTTTTGTTCAAATCTCTGCTGTCTGGGTGGAACCGGAGACCTGACTTCCGGTCCTGGTGCTTTTCCTGGCTCCATATGTGGCCTTGGGCAGGTCATTCCCCATCTTGGGGCCACAGTTTTGTACCTGAAAACTAAGCTAATTGCTGATCCTGGAAGGGCCTCCCAGCCCTGACTCCTGTGATCCTGTGATGCTTCGGGAAGGGAAGGCTCCCTTCCCTCCCCACCGAGCCTCTGCCTGCACCCCGACTCCCCACTCCCCACTTTTCTCACACACACCTGGCCTAGCCCGAATGAGGGGGTGAGTTGCCACTGTCGTCATGGGGACTAATCTCCGAGAAGGTCAGTGAGGCTCTGCTTCTGCCTCGGCTGGATTGGGGATTAGCGCCTGTGTGCAAGCCCTCCCGTCCCCCCAGTGCCTCCACTCCCAGGTCTCCACACTGTTACATAGACCCTGGGCAGCCTCCACACCCAGAAGTTCCACAGCTGGGCCAGAATCAGCAGGTGGGTAGTGGGGCCAGGGCAGCTGCCACAGCTGTCTGTCCAGCTGTGGCCAAGAGAGAAAGCGGGAGAGATCGAGTCAGATCCATGCCCCTCACTACTCACATGGCCTGAGCTGTGTCCCTCTTCACCTTCTGCCCTTTAATGGGGGGAGATGGGTCTCCCAAGATAGGGGTATCACCTCTACTTCCAGCCCTGGCTCACGTTTGCCGGTCACATAGAAGCCACCTCTTTCTCCTTCGTTGTGGGTAATTTCCCCATCCCGACGTGGGGTGGGATGGAGGCTGTTTTCACATAGCTTCCCCCTTCCCCCTCACATGCTGTCTCTTCCATCCCTGGTTACCCTGACCTCTGACCCAGCATCTTCAAATCCCATCTCTCTGGAGCGTACATCCCTTGTTACCTCACACTGCCTCTGTATCTCTGGTCTCTCTCTAACTCTCACTTTCACAGTCTGGGGTCGGGGGGAGGCGGTGTCTGCAGCCTCTCTGGACCCTGAAATCTTCCACACCTTCTGGGCTGCACCCTCTGTCTGTCCCTCTGTGCTTCTGCTTGGATTCTCCACTCTCTTGCTCATCCTTCTCCCCTCTCCATTTCTCATGGGCAGGTCCCTGGTCCCCCTATGGCCAGCCACACTCCAACTGCTCTTTCCCTTTTTCCGCTTCCTCCATTACCTGTCCCCTCCCCCGCTCAGGGTGCTGACAGGGATGACAGGAAGCAGGCTCCGGCTTCGGCTTCAAGCAGGAAGGGGGAGGGGGTGGGGGCCCGCCTCGAACACCAGCTGCTGAGCACCCCCTTCCCCAAGCCCTGCACCTGCAGGGCTGCCTGGCGCCTGGAGACTCCGCCCCTGGCCAGGCAGGGGAGGATGGACCTGGAGGAGAGGCCAGATCCTCGGCCACGTCCAGGAAATGCGGGTCTAGGGGATGGGGGGGGTGGAGGTCTGGGGAAATTGCTGCCCCCCCCCGCAGCGGGGGAAGAGGCAGTGGCTCTCTGTCACAAGGGCAGACCCCAGCCCACTGGTGGCCTCATTCTTCTCACCCCCGCCCCCAGGACTGCTGTGTGTGTGTGTGTGTGTGTGTGTGTGTGTGTTGGGGGGCGGTCATTCCAAGGGGAGGCCTTTTGTTGTGCAGCCCCAGAATCTGGAGTCCTAGCCAGAGGGGGAGTGCTCTAGCCACCTTCCATGTTTCGGGGAGGGGAGCGGAAGCCCTCAAAGACACAGGGAAGATGTGCCAGCACCAGGGCCAGGCGAATCAATCAGTGCCAGGCTGGGAGGCCAGGAGAGGGGCTGCACACACCCAGCCTGGGACCCATGGACTTCCCCTCGCCCTCACGGCCCAGGCTGCTGCACGGAGATTCAGCCTGCGGTCCACCCTCTCCCCGGACCTGCCTGGGATCTGTCAGAGCCATCTCATCCCCTCCCCCTCCCTTTCTCTGTGCCAAGGACTCAGCAGATCCTGTGGAGCCTGCGGGTAGTTGGGTGAGGGGTGGCAGTGGAGTGGGGGGAAAGTGGAGGGGGAAAGCCAGCACCCCCAGGAACATTCAAATTGGAGTCAGAAGGGACCAGTGACTCCTGACCCTCATTCCCATCTCCCTGGGGACTGCCTCGGCCTGGGTGTGTGGGGTACAGTCCCTCCCCATAAAGCTTCCTCACCCTTAGGGGAAACTGGGCTCCTTACTGCTGTCCAAGGAGCCTTCCTTCCACCCCTGACCTACAACTGGCCCTTCCCTCCAGGGCTGGCTCAGCATCACCGTCAGTTTTGGGAGGTGGAGTGGAGTACACCTGGAATCACAGGGCAGAGGCTCGACTGGGAGCTCAGACTGACCCCAGGCCTCGGTTCTAGGCTCTCCAAGCAGGAGGCCAGGGGTCTACGGCAATCTTCATCCTCCTCCCCCGTGTCAGATCTTAACACTTTGAGTCACTGAAAAGGCGGGTGGTCTGTCCTAGGTTTGGGTTGTGGCTAATGACCCATGGACTCCCACCTAATCTGAGGGCCACTCAGACCTACCCCACCTCCAGCTGACTGAAACAAGAGGCCTCGGGATTATGAAGTTTGGGAAAGGCAGTGAGCTGCAGTGCCTGGGAACCCCATCAGGCAAGGGCTACCGGACCCCGTGTTTGTCCTTTTCGATCAGTCTGTCTGTCTTGAACATGGGAAGACTGAAGGATGGGTCAAGGAGATGGCAGGGAGTGAACCCTCAGGATGTCAGCACCAAAGATATGTGGAGGAGCTGGACTTGATCCACCGTGATTCTAGCTCCCCCCACCCAGATTTTCCACACCTCATAGCTGTTGTTCCAACCCCTTGAGAGCCTCAAACTTCCCAGGTCAGGGGCCTCAAAAGTATTGCTAAAAGCCCAGAAACTAGGGTATGGGGACTGGTGGGACCCACGCGGGAGGCCAGACCAACCCCCCTCATTGCGCAAATGGGGGATGGGGGTTGGAGGAAAGCCCGAGGAGAGGCCATGAAATGACTTGCCCAAGGCCACAGAAGTCGCTGGGACAGAGCCGGACTAGAAGGCGGGTTTTCACCTCCGGAAGGGCTCCTGACCAGGCCCACAGCCCCCCATGCCACCCGGTGGAGCCTGCTCCGCCGGCCCGTATTATCCGGAATCGAGCCGGGCAGCCCAGGAGTTGCGGGCAGGACCAGGCAGTGCGGGCGGGGCCGGATGGGAGCCGGATCTCCCCGGGGAGCGGCGCACAGCCTCTCCGACCCTTATGGCGGCGGCGGCGGCGACAGGTGCTTGCGTGGCGATCGGGCCGGGCCCCCGGGCGGGTGCTGAGAGGCCGCCCCTGCCTCACGCGAGCCGAACGAACAAAACGCTCAGGTCCGGTTTGTGCGAGGGGCTCGTCGCGGGGCGGGAGCGGAGGGCCCGGGGCCAGGCTGTGGCCCTCGGTGGTCTCCTGGTCCTGGTCTTCGGCGAGCGCAGTGCGGCACAGCACTCCGCTAGCTGCCGCCCTCCCCTGCGCGCGTCTGCGGCTGACACGTCGGCGGCCGCAGTGGCCACTACAGGTGCGCACCTGGCCCGCCCCTCCCTTCCTGGCCACCCTCCACCCGGCCGGGCCCTGCCTGGCTTGGTCCCCAGCGCACGCCCCGGAGCTTGTGCCGGAGCCCCGGCTCAGCGCGCTTTATACGGCCTACTCAGTCCCCGCCCCTAGACACACACACACACACACACACACGCACACACACACGCACACACACACTCACACCTGTCCGGGCGCCCGTTTGCTCGCGGCAAATATTGACTCAGAGGAGGCGGAGCGCCCCTCTCCCCGCCCCCGCCTAGGCTTTGGGGCCGGAGCTCCTCCGAGGCCTTGGCGGTGGCGGTGGAGGGGGGGGGGTGTCGGGGACCTGGGCGCCTCTGGAACAACACCAGATGTCACTTTTCCACCCACCTGCCTCGGGGAGGGGGGGTGGAGCCGAGGACAGAGGCTGCCAGGCGGAGGTTAGGGGGAACCGGAGGTGGGTATCCTAGGGAAAGTGGGACATCTCCTGGTCTGGGGATTCAGATTCACGATGAGAGTCGTTTAGTAGGGTCTGTGGCCCGCTGTCTAGCGATGATCTCCACCCGCACCCCAGCTTCTAGTTCTTGGCCCTCCGCGAAGTGCCTCGATTTCCCAACCTCAGCAGAGTCCCGGGAGTCCGGCAGATGCTGAGAAAAAGCTAGAGGTGGAAGGGCCGAGCCTCAGAGCAAGCGCGGCGGGGAAAGGGTAGGGGTGGCAACCTTGCTCCGCGGCCACCTGCTGCGCAGACCAGGCCTGGCGCTCGGCTCCTGTCCACCCGGCTCTGCTGGGTCAAAGGCCAGCCAGGCCCCGCCCGAAGCGCCCCCCTTTGGCCAGACCAGGTCCAGCGCCTGGCAGCGAGCAGCGAGAACTCTTGCCCAGCTGCCGAGCGGAGTGGAGAGGCGCAACCTCCCAGGCCCTAAGTCTCCAATGAGTCGAGGCGGTCCACCTTGGCCGCTTCCACCATCTGTCCCTCTGAGACCGCGCGCGCGATTTCTTGTCGCGTCGGGGAAATAAAGTTAAGGCAGATATAGAAATAAAGCTATAGATGCTTTACTGGGGGGTGATGGAGAGGGGGGCGGGAGGAACCTAGAGCTGCAAGTCGGAGCGGGCGGGCGCTGGCGTCTGCAAACAGTTGGTGGGGGGCGGCTCAGTCGAGCCGGGCATCTCCGCTTGCTGCGGCCCCGGGGACGCCGCCGGCAGCGAGTCGGGAGTCAGAATCCTGGATGACAGAAAGCTCCAGGTAGGGGGGGGTCGGGGAGAGCCTTCCCGCCGAGCCTGCCCGTCCCTGCAGCCCCTCGCGCCCCTCCAGCGGCCGCTGGCCCGGGCCCCCCGACCTGGGAACGCTGAGCGGCGGCAGGGCGATGACGCGTGGCCGCGAAGTGAGCACCACCTCCCCGCGGCTCGCCTCCACCAGGATGTTCTGGATCATGTTCTCCAGCAGCGCCTCCTGCAGGCTAACGAAAGCCGGGAGCCTACGGGGCGGGAGGCGGGGGCGCCGGGGTCAGCGCCGCCACCGACCGCGCTCTGGTCCTCCGCTGGCCTCCTCTGGGCTGTATCGTTTGCCGCGTGCTCTACGTGGATTCTCATTTTAACTCCCCGCCCTCCCAACACTATGAGGCATCCTTGTTCCAATTTTACAGACGTTCAAACTAGGGCTTAAACAGACCAAGTTGCCAAACGTCACGCTGCTGGTACACGTGGTGGGATTCGAACCCAGGGAATCGGAGTCCCCATCCCAGGGCCAGGGTTGGGGAAAGGCATCGAGCGGTGAGACGGTGCAGAAGGGACTCCTGGGGAATCCCACCACGGACAGAAAACCCCAGAGCAGCCCCAGGGAAAGGCGGTGCAAGAAGAGGTGGTACTTTTCTCCTGGCTCTAAAAACTCATTTAAGAGACTTTGACGGCTATAATCACCCTCCTGAAAGTGGTGTGATGGTAAACGTTAATAGTCTGCTCTTGGAGAAGAAAATTAAAGCTTGGATCGCCATTTCGTAAATACTCCCACTGAGGCCTTAAGTGTCCAACAGTGATGTCAATGAACACTGAGTAGGAAAGAGAAGCTCACACAGGTAGAGCCCCAGCACACCATTGCCTCCTAGGATCCTTCTGCACTTGACCCCGCCATCCCCCCCCAAACCCTCACCGTGGTCTGGCTGCTTACCGGCTGATGGCCTCCTTCTCATCCTGCTCTTGCTTCTCCTTCAGTGAGACCTTCAGCTGTTGCTGCCACTGCCATTTCAGGGACTCCTGGGACGTGGGCTGCAGTGTGGGCTTCGTCTCCGTCCAGGGCAACTTCTCTTCCTCCTCCTCCAGCTCCTCCTCTCCCCCCTCTTCCTTCTTCCTCAGCCTCCGTTTGTCTTCCGCCTCCTCTTTGTCTTTGCTGACCTCAGAGCTGCTGGAGGACTGAGACGTGGCTGGAGCTAAGTGCAGGCTGCCGTTCTGGGATGTGAACCTTGCCGACTGCTCATTCCAGAACTGGCAGAAGTAAGGCATTTGCTCCACCAGGTTTCGGTCCACAGCCTCATGGAAGATCTTGTCCTCCAGCAGACCCCTGGGTGGCAGGGAGGAGGAGAAGGTCCTCACTGAGAGGCCTTGCAGCCCCCTGTGGGGGGCTCTGGCTTCAGGGGTTCCCCAAGGGGTGGTTCTTGGCTACTGTGTCCACAAACAGGTGCTAGGTGCGGGGAGGGGAGCCCCTGATCAGTTGCTCCCTCCCATTCCTTCTTTAGATAAAGGTATCTCTGGGCCCCGTGGATTCTTAAAGATGAACATTTTATGGTAGAGGAAGAGCCAGGATGTCAGAGTTACACAGATGAGGCCCGGAGCCCTGGAGAGACAGTGAACTGGCTCCAGACCACATCTACCAGCCATGACAAGGCAGAACTCGGGACCCAGCCCTGAGGATCCCTCCAGCCAGATCCATTAGAGCTGTACCATCCTCAAGGGCCTGGGACCACCAGTGGAAGGATCTTGTGAGGAAGTTCTATCTTTCAGGAAAGGAAGGGCTGGGATTTCAGGGGCTTTGGCTGGACCCAGAATTGACGAATGAACTAGGGAGATGGAGGGGTGAGCGTTTAGGGGGTGGGTGGTCACCTGATAATGGTGGTGAGACAGTCAGTCAGGAGCTGCTTCTCCTGCTTGGAGACAGGGGCCCACTTGTCCGTGGATACTTCCTCACCAGCCTCCGACTCCTCCCTGGGGTACTTCCTCTTTGGCAGCTCCCTGGGGCAGGCCGTGGCATTCTGAGTGGCCTGGGCAAGCCACCACGCTGGGGTTGGGGGCATGAGCAGTGATGGTGGCTGCCCAGTCATGAGGACATAGGTGAGTTTGGGGCTTCCCCAGCCTTAACCCAACATAGTGCTGCTGCATTTGGGGAACCAAGCCCGACTCTCAGAGTCGGCACAGGACCTGGAGAGGCTCCAATTTGGAAAGGGAAGGAAGGAGGGGAGGCAGGGAGGCCTAAGTGGGTTCCCCAGGGGCTCTGGCTCTTTGCCCCCTTCTCATAAGGGCCTAACAGTAATGGGGGCATTCTGGGCCCAGCAGTGCCCCAGAAGTCCCAGTGATACTGCACGTGCTTCAAGCCCTCAGCAAGGGTGAGGTCTGGGCAGTCCTGTTCTAGAGCGGGAGGGTGGCAGAGAGCAGAGCAAGCAGACCCCTCCCTCCCTGAGAGTTCACCGGTGCAAGAAGTGGCGGGGAAAGTCAGAGAAGAAGTTGGCCAGGAAGTAGTCGGTGGCATGGGCGCGGGCAGTGAGGCCTAAGCTGAGCATCCCTGGCGAGGGCGGCTGGGGGCATGGCCAGCGTGTCTCCTCCTTTGCGATCTTAAGGCTCCAGCTGGTTGGGCAGTTGAGACACCACTGGTTCTTGATGGGGGGCAGCGTCTTTGGGAAAGGGGAGGCATGGATGACAGGAGCTTAGGGACTGCACTCCCATCACTGATGGGTCCTTAGCCCCCCAACCAGGTCTTTTGTGACACCCCTGGCATTTCATCCGCACCCATTGGCACTTTCATCCCTCCCTTCCAGGAGACTAGACCAGAGGTTGGATGTCTCTCTGGAGAGGAAGCAAGGATCCTCTCAAGTTATCCCAAGGAGACAGGCCTGGGCTTATGTCCTCACCCTGTACTTGCTCACAGGTTCACAAGCTGTACAACACGCCCTTCTCTGTGGAAGCAAAGAGACCCCCTGCTTAGGACGCAAGAGGCCTAGAGGGACTCCCCTCTTCTTCCTCTTCCTGCTGACCCACGGAGGGCCTGAAATCAATGTCAGCACCTGCTGCCCCCTTGGTTCTGCCCAACTCCCAGCCACACCCTCTTCCAGAACCTTCCCTAGGGAAGTGCTGCCTGCAGACTTGGAAAATCTGGTTACCTAACTAAAGGAAAGAAATGGAGATGCCACCAAACAATGCAGGCTGCCCCAAGGGTACTTGTCTGGTGCCCTGGAGCTTTGTGGTTTGGCTTGATAAGGAAACAGCCTTCCTTATTAAGCCTTAATTCAGAAATCCCTTCTCCCATAGCCCTCAAGACATGATTTGCCTTCACAGTTGGGCCAGAGGTTCAGAGGGGAGTAGTGTCTCCCTGGGGGTTCAGTGTGGAGTACACAGGGGTGATTGAGGTGCAAGAATGCAACCGTGGGGACTTCCCTGCTGGCGCAGTGGTTAAGAATACGCCTGCCAATGCAAGGGTCACGGGTTTGAGCTCTGGTCGGGGAAGATGCCACGTGCCGGAGAGCAACTAAGCCCGTGCGCCACAACTACTGAGCCTGCGCGCCACAGCTACTGAGGCCCGCGTGCCTAGAGCCCGTGCTCCGCAACAAGAGAAGCCACTGCAATAAGAAGCAACACAACGAAGAGTAGACCCTGCTCACTGCAACTAGAGAAAGGCCGCGTGTAGCAATGAAGACCCAACGCAGACAAAAAAAAGAATGCAACTGTGGGGAGGAGGATCCAAGGTGGATACTTTGTATCAATTATTATCAGTCTCCCCTGCATAAATAGTAGTAGCCCATGTTTAGCGAGTGCTTACTGGGTGCCAGGCACTGTTGTAGGCACTTTACATGCATTAACTCATTTAATCCTCGCAGCAGTGCCACAAAGCAGATAACAATTTATTCACATTTTAAAATATTTTGGGGCTTCCATGGTGGTGCAGTGGTTAAGAATCCGTCTGCCAATGAAGGGGACACGGGTTTGAGCCCTGGTCTGGGAAGATCCCACATGCCACATAGCAACTAAGCCCGTGTGCCACAGCTACTGAGCTTGCGCTCTAGAGCCTGTGAACCACAACTACTGAGCCCGCGTGCCACAACTACTGAAGCCCTCACGCCTACAGCCGGTGCTCCTCAACAAGAGAAGCCACCGCAGTGAGAAGCCCGCGCACCGCAATGATGAGTAGCCCCTGCTCGCCGCAACTAGAGAAAGCCCGCATGCAGCAATGAAAACCCAATGCAGCCAAAAATAAATAAATAAAATAAATTTTAAAAAGAATAAAATAAAATATTTTAACAACTTTTCTTTTAACATTTTTTTTTGGGCCATGCTGCACAGCTTGTGGGATCTCAGTTCCCTGACCAGGGACTGAACCCGGGCCATGGCAGTGGAAGCCCGGAATCCTAACCACTAGGCCACCAGGGAACTCCCTTTTTAACCTTCTTAATATGGAAAATTTCAAAAGTATACAAAAGTGGAGAGAGTGCTACAAAGAATCTTCCATTACCCCCCACCCAGCTTCAGCAATTAGCAGTTCATGGCCAATTTTGTCTCATCTATAACCCATCTCTGGATTATCTTGAAGCCAGTCTCAGATGTCATATTACCCCCCATTATACAGTTGAGGGAACTAAGAGGTTAAATAACTTGACTAAGATCACAGAGCTAGAAATCATCAAAGTCAGGAAACAAACCCGGGCAATTTGTTTCCAGAGCCTGTACCTGAAACCACTACGCCACACTCTCTTCCATCAGAAGGTGAGCTCTGCCTGGTTTCCCCTGGGTCCCCAGTGCCCAGCACCGGGTGGGTATTCATTAAATACAGGCTACATGAAGCAGGGAGTGGTCAGCCAGCTTTCAGTATCTAGAGAGTCTCTTGGGGATGTGCTATGCTTAGCCTAATGAAAGAAATCTAATCTCTTAAGTCAGGCTGACCAGTTTTTTAGGACCACCTCGGATCACCACCTCTGTCCCCTCTGGCAAGGCCAATCGGAAAGCTCTGTGGTGTTCAAAGCCCACCCTGCCCTCATCACCTTTGCTTTCCTATCTGTGATGGTGAACTCCACTCCCTGCCGCACCTTCTCGTCCTCCCAGTCCTGCAGTTCCTTATGGTACTGAGTCAGGAGTTTCTGCCGGTACACCTGTGGCTCAGGACAAGGAGAGAGAAGACCAAGGTCTGGAGGGCCTTGGCCTGGGTCTGTGCTGTGGGCCCACCACTCTTCCAGACGTTGGCCTTTGCCTCTCTCTGGGGGTCTGGGGATATCACAGACCACCCCACACCTCAAGACTGGGAGCTGCGCACCATCCCAGCTTCTCGCTAAGGCTGATCCTACCTTGCATACCAGGTCCATGCTATAGAAGCTGGCATGCACTGAGGCCTTCAGGGTCACCACAAACGGGATCGCCTCTTCGGGAGCCACCTTTCCTCTCATAGGACTCACAGACACCTATTTGTTTTGGGAAGGAGTCTCTGGAGCTTCACAGGGATTGTATGGGACAAGATGGGATAGGGGGTGGGATGGGGTGGGATGGGGTAGGATGGGATGGGGTGAGTCTAGAGCCCCTCTGGAGGTTCTCATTCTGCAAACACAGGGAACTCTCACCTCCCCAAAGTCTAGAGCCTTCCGCTGCCAGACAAAGACAATTGTCTCATTCTTGGAGATGTTGTTGAGAAACAGCAGGCGGCTGCACTTGCTCTGCACAGGAATGTTTCCCAGGGAGATATGAGATTGGGACAGGAAGACGTCCTGTTGGTGGGGACAACACAACAGCAACTTTGGGAGGTGAAGAAATACTAAGCATAGCAACCACTACCAGTCACTGAGTGCTTTCAACAGGCCAGGTACCACTGTAGGCAACTGACATGCATTTGGTCCTTACAGTGGCCCAATATATAGGCTACTACTATATATAGGTACTACTATAAACCATCTTCACTTTATAGATGTGCTGCTAAGGTCCAGAGAGCATAGATAATTTTCCAAAGGTCTCTCACAGGCACAGCTGGGATAAACCCTGACAGTCTCACTCTAAAGCCTATGATTTTGACCATTAAAATAGGCTTGGAAGGGCTGAGAAATCAGAATTCGCTTAGAGAAGGCAGAAGTAAAGCCGACAAAATTTGTCTCTGAAGGATGGTTGTAAATAAGTAGGTGATCAGCTGTTGGCACCTTCACTGGGCACACAGCAGGAGCTGTGTTGTAGGGGTATCTGGAAAGATTGAGGCCATGAGAGGGGCACTTTCTCTCTGTCTAGACCCTGAGTGCCTCCAGAGCTGAGACTTTGTCTGGCTCTTCTCTGTGACCCCACAGTGCTCATCCTTCAGTAAGAGTCCAAAGAGGGTAGGAGTGGAAGAGCGGACAGGCAGTTGTGTTGGTGGATAGTAACTGGATGAGTGCATGGATGGGTGGATGGAGAGAAACATGGATGAATAAATAGGCATGTGGATCAGTGGGGAAATGGATGGATGTGTCAAACCTCCCAACAGTGAGGAGTGTGTGAACGAAAGGCAGTGTTACTGACCCTAGATATTTCAGCAAAATCCATCTACGTCCAGGGGAGAGACTGTTCTATATGAAGATAATATCTCAGTGCCCTAGAATGGCAGAGCTTCTTTTTACTCCTTTCAATACCTCCATCCCAATGCCCAGAGGCAAGGGGTGGGTGGAGGGCCCTGCCGCAGGTGGAGTGGCTGGAGCAGGAACACCTGTGGGCACTAGGTGGCAGGGTAAGCCTCTCATGGAGCTGGTGCTGCCTCCTAAATCTGGAGGAGGGCTGGTTCCAGGTTCACCTCTGTATCCCTCCCTTCTCAACTCCATCTCTTCTTTCGCAGCCTCCCCACCCCTCCGCAGTGGACACCCTGGACCCTCAGTCTCCTCCTAGGCCTCAGGCCTTCCCAGATCCCTTCCCCCTACCTGTCCAGGAACCATCAGCCTCGAGTGGATGGAGCTATTGTCCCATGAGGAGATGTTGTGGAATGGGGCTGTGTCGCCCATGATGTGAGGGTCATAGCCCACTCCCTGGAAACGGATGATGGCTGAGTTCCATCCCAGGATGTGTATGGGCACATCCACCTGGGAAGTTAGGAAGGTGGGGGAAGGCACTGGTCAGAGGAAGGCCTGCTGGGGAGGCCACCTCCAACCCCCGCCCCAAGCCCGTGTTAGCCCAGGCTGCTGCTCACCATGTAGGTCTTGGCCTCAATAGGTGAGAAGATCCAGAAGACGCGAGCAGTTGTGCCTGGCTGGATCTCCCCTTTGGGGTTGAGGCAGCAGAAGACGGGGTGATCAAAATTTTTTTCCTGAACCTGCGACAGGATGCTGGTCTGGATCTCATATGTCACGGGCACCGAGCCACCGTTATACAGCTCATAAATCTGCAGCGGGAAGGAACAGGGAAATCTCCACACCAGCTCTGGGCTGCAATGCAGAGAGCCTGGGATTCTGTGTCCACTGTAGGAGGGCAGGTTGATCCCCATGATGTCACCCTTACAGTCCCAGAGCTCCCTTAAATACCTCTGATTTCCCGTATGGCTTGATCACCCAAGAAGTATATAACTATATTTTCAACCTGTGACATTTAAGTATAATCTGTAATTCTTATTTTATTTGCTCTCAACTTACCTTAGTCAAGGTATAAGGGGACACTAATGCTTGTGTCCCTAGTGTTGGAATTTAGGGGGATGTCCATGCATACACCATCCAGACCCTGCATCATTTTCTAAGCTATCATTCTAATTACCTGTGAGGCTGCCACTCCATGTCTGCCATTAGAGGTCGTTGTGCTTACGGGCAGATAAGGGAGCAGAAGGAAGATATGAGGTCCCCCAAGACTAACTCCACAGTTGGGGAATCACAGAACGGCCTGCCTGAAACCAGAGATCTGGTCCAAGCCTCCATGTTAGAGATGAGAAAACGGAAGACAGTGAGAATAAAGAGTTTGTCTGGATTTAGGTCCAGCCCCTCATCTTTCTCAGCACCCACCCCTGAATGCGCTGATGCTCTTTCTCTAGCTTGGACCACCCTCTGAGCTTCAGACCTGGTATCCAACTACTACTAAACAACTCCTCCTGGTTGTCTCATAGGCCTCTTAAATTCAGCCAAAACCCAACTCTTCACTCTAAAACCTATTCCTCCCCCTAGTGTATCTTGTTTCAGCAAATGGTACTACATATTTCCAGTGGCTCAAACTAGGAATCCAATACATTTTTCATCCATCCCTTTCTCTTACTTCCCAGATCCAATCCCCAGCAAGTCCCAGGGATTCTGTCTTCAAAATGTAAATTAAATCTGTTCACTTCTCTCTGTTTCCTCTGCTCTCTTGCAGGTCCAGGCCACCATCTGTCATCATCTTATGAACGAAAAAGGAAGCTTGGCTGCAGTTGTGGAGTTTGGCTGGAGGTACAACTGGGTCTTCTCCAGATCTGGGGGCCTTTTCCATTGTCTATGTTCAGGGCCATGGGGGAGTGGTCTGATCTCTCTGGAAAGATTTCCAGGAGGCATGTGAGTCTTTGCCTTCTCTTTTGAGGGTCTGGGTTTCTGGGTGGGGCTTCTGGGAAGCCAGTGGCGTAAAGGGTGGTGTAAGGCAGTGGGCAGAGCTCGGGACTATGAGATCCCCTCTCAGGTCTAGGAAGCCCATTCCTGTGCCTCTCGGCTGAGTGGCTAGAGGCCCCTGCCCAGAAACACAAGGGCTTCTCGATTGTTAGAAATTTCAGAGTGATGAAGTGTTTGTGAAAATACTATATCCTCTCTTGGAGATTTCCAATGTACATTTTCAGAACAAAGGAAACTGATTCCTTCCAATTAATAAATAAAATTCTATAGCTTTGAGGATTTACATTCTAGCTTTTCATGCTCCAGACAGATGCCCTTTTTGGGGCAGTGATTTTCAAACTGTGACTGAGACCCATTAGTAAGCAGGTCATGAAACCAATTTATCAGGTCATGTCCAGCATTTAAAAAATGGAACAGGGCTTCCCTGGTGGTGCAGTGGTTAAGAACACGCCTGCCAATGCAGGGGACACGGGTTCGAGCCCTGGTCCGGGAAGATCCCACGTGCCACGGAGCAACTAAGCCCGTGCGCCACAACTACTGAGCCTGCGCTCTAGAGCCCGTGAGCCACAACTAATGAGCCCGCACGCCACAACTACTGAAGCCCGTGCGCCTAGAGCCCGTGCTCCGCAACAAGAGAAGCCACCGCAATGAGAAGCCTGCGCACCGCAACGAACAGCAGCCCCTGCTCACCGCAACTAGAAGGAAGCCCGCGCGCAGCAATGAAGACCCAACACAGCCAAAAATAAAAATAAGTAAAATAAAATAAATAAAACATTAAAAAAAATGGAACAGAATAAAATAAAAAAGAAAACATCAGAGTACTTAGCATGTAGTGGTGCACGTATTGATTTGTTTTGTTTCAGTTGTATGTGTATGTATGTATTGGGTTTTCCAAAATATATTAGTGTGGCTCATGGTCAAAGAAGTTTGAAAAACCCTGTGTTAGAGGAAGGAACTCCCTGCTTTTGCATGGGAATGAGTCCTGGCAAAAGGTTTAGAACCAGTGCCAAGAAGCTGAAGCCTCTCGCCTTGGGTCTCTCCCAGTTGCCCAGTCTTGGGGTTCAACCTGTCACCCCACCTCTTAGAGTGAGGGCAGGGTCCTTGTCATCCTGTCAAGGGCTGATACAGATACACAGAGATCAATACTGAAGCCTCCTGGTGACCAGGACAATGTACCACTGACCTGCCTTGGGGGCAGTGTGTCGCCAATGGGGACGGGGATGAACTGATGGCTGGTGGAGGTGAAGTGCACGTACTTCTGCTCCAGCTTCACTGTCACACCTATGAAATTTAGCTGGAAATAGAAAGCCTGTGAGTAGCATCCTTCCCTGGGAGGAACTGAAGTACCCAGCAGAGAGATCTGGACCCCATCTCTCTGGGGAGCACGGCTCCCTGTGCCTCTCTCTTGGTTTTCCAGGACAGGACCAGGGCTGGGCCTCACCAGGATCTCCCGGCCATGGGACACCTTGAAGAGCACCGGGAGGCGATCAGTGCCAATGAACAGGTGGCTGGAAGGGAGGAGAGAGTCTGGGATGAGTTACTGAGCCCTGGTACGAGTGGAAGAACAAGCGGTCATGGCACACCTATGGCTTTGGGGCAGCTATGTGGAAACCCTTGAGCTGGGATGGGGCAAGAGGAAAATTAAACTTCCCCTGCAGGTGGGAAGGCGGGGCCTTCTCAGGGTGGTGGCCACTCAGGATACCCTGGAGTCACACAGTGCAAGGCCAGCGTCCTCCAGGAGTCGGGGGAAGGGGGTCTCCAGGACTGGAAGTGCAGGGCGGGCGGTGGGGGCAGCACCTGTATTTGAACTCCACCATCTGCTCTTGCCCAGGACTCAGGCTCCCAGCCTTGGGGCTGATGGAGAATATGCAATTGTCCTGCACGCACATTTGGTGCAGTTCAGTGCAGTCAAAGTCCACCTGCTCTGCCCACAGCTCCAGGTCGATCTGCTGGTCACTTGGGAAGAGGAAGGCCCTGGGAAAGGGGTGCAAAGCAGAAGGGGTGGAGCCGCTCAGTCAGAGCAGAGGCAGGAGCTCTGAGCCCCAGGCAGGATGGATGGAGGCCTTTTCTTCATCCCCCAGTAGGCAAGCTGTCCCATGCATGGCCGGGCAAATGCGGCAGTTGTGGATCCTCATTTCATAATGGCCCCCGAACCCAGGAGCAGAAGCAGGGTCCTGGTGACTAAGTGGAAAGCGGAGATTGGGGCTCGCATTGTGGGTGCCAGGGGTCAGGGTGCTGCTTGTATATGTGGGCCACTTTGAGCTGGGCACTGACCCTGGAGGGGTTTGTGTGACAAGCTGTTAGGAAGGGCCATTTGAGCCACCTAGAAATGCCAGCAGCACCAACCAAGGGTCCCCAAGAGGGCTGGTAGTCTTGAACCCAAAGCAAGGCTGGGCATAGAATGAGTGCCCCTGTAATGCCTGGTGCTGTATAAAGCAGATACTGCACTCTAAATGGTGACCAAATAAGTGACCAAGGGGTCCCAAGCTCACAATCTGAAAAGAAGGATCCCTGCGCTCTCAGAGGGATGACACAGAACTGTCCTCAAAACGGGCAGAGGTTATGAAGAGGGAACGGCCAGAAGGGGGAAAGAAAACAGCCAACACATCTGAAAAGGCTCAAGGGGAGTTGGGAAATGCAAATCAAAACTCCCTTGGGGCTTCCCTGGTGGCGCAGTGGTTGAGAGTCCGCCTGCCGATGCAGGGGACACGGGTTCGAGCCCTGGTTCGGGAAGATCCCACATGCCACGGAGCGGCTGGGCCCGTGAGCCACAACTACTGAGCCTGCGCATCCGGAGCCTGTGCTCCGCAACAAGAGAGGCCACGACAGTGAGAGGCCCGCACACCACGATGAAGAGTGGCCCCCGCTTGCCGCAACTGGAGAAAGCCCTCGCACAGAAACGAAGACCCAACACAGCCAAATACATAAATAAATAATAATTAAAAATGAACATCTGGTAAAAAAAAAAAAAAAAAACTCCCTTGAATCAATCTTAAATATTTTCACATCTGAATCGTGACAAATAGTTATATCCAATGCTGGTAAGTTTAGAAGGAACGACATCTTCGAACACCGGTTGGGAGAGAAGAAATTGCTACCACCTTTTGTTGTAGGAATTATGACAGCATCTTTTAGAATAAAAAGTGCATAGAATAAAAAATGCCCTTTGGCTCAGAAATAATTTGGGGGAGCTAAGCTGCAGGAATAAACGTAAGTGTGCAGGCAGGCAGGCACGCACACACGCACACACACAGACACACATACTCACGCAAAGATGTTTATTACAACTTTGTTAGTGATGGCAAAAAATATTAAAAAGCACTGGGGAAGAAAAAAGCACTGGGAACAACTAATGTCATCTAATAAAGGAGTGGTTTTAAAACGTAAGGGCCATTCATATTACGGAATACTATGCAACTATTAAAAAGAATGAGTTAGATCTATATGCCTTTTTTTTTAATTAATTAATTTATTTATTTATTTTTGCGGTACGCGGGCCTCTCACTGCTGTGGCCTCTCCCGTTGCGGAGCACAGGCTCCGGACGCGCAGGCTCAGCGGCCATGGCTCACGGGCCCAGCCGCTCCGCGGCATGTGGGATCTTCCCGGACCGGGGCACGAACCCGCGTCCCCTGCATCGGCAGGTGGACTCTCAACCACTGCGCCACCAGGGAAGCCCTATATGTCTTGATCTTTATTGATCTATAGGGAATGTTATTGACATAATGCTGAGGGAAAAGGTTATTGCTATAACGCTGAGCAGAGAGTAATACGTGTAACATCATGCCATTATGGTAAAAGAAATGAAAGGGTAGCGGCGTCCCTGTGTCTGTGCCTTGTACCAGTGCTGAGAGTGGAAGCTCATGCCAAACCCTCCAGGGCAGACTAGAGAGGGAGCTGGGGTGTTTCTTACTTTCCTTCCATCACCCTTGTATTGTTTGACTTGCTACAGGCGAATAAACTGTTTGGTCATTTTATTTGCGGGATATTGATCAGCGGCAGAACTGGTGACCTTGATACTTCGGGGATGTCTGGATGGTTTCCCTCTTGGCCCTCACCCAGTCTCCCTCCAAATGATCACAGCCCCCTTTTCCCTGCCAGTCCTCTGGTGTGGGCCCCCATGTTGGGACTGTGGAAGCCTGCCAACCTGTCCCCCTGCCTCAATCCACGAATCCTTCTCAGAAGGAGAAGGAGTCCAAGGCCCTGCCTGTCCCCCTATCAACGTTGCAGCCACTCTGTGGCCTCTTCTCTTACCCATGTCCGCCCTACACCCTCCGTCTGGGAGGCTCATCGCAGCCTCTCTTGCCTCCGCTCCCTGGGTTGCAGGTCTAGCTTGGCTGTAGCTTTCTCCAGGAAGCCTTTCTCATGTGCCCACCCCCACCTACCACTTCCAAAACTGAGGCAAGTGGCTGCACAAGCCTCTTTCACAGCACTTGTCACCCTGCACGGAAAGGCCGGCCCGCCCCACCTGGAGGGCAGGGCCTGGGCTCATCTGCATCGCTATGCTGAGCTCTGGGCCTGGAGCCCACACCTGGGAAGCCCCAGTCAACATTTAGCCGATGACTTAACAAATGAGTGAGGGAACAGATGATGTTAACCCGTGTATCTGATGCCTGTGAGGGATCACCCCTTAAATGCACGGCAGCTTTTCTGTCCTGCCTGCTGCTGCCTGCAGGCCAAGTCCACACTCCCCATTTCTTACTGGTCTTGGCAGGAATAAAACCTTCAGTCTGTTCCTTATGAGTTTAGCAGAGACCCGGCTAGAATTTTCAAAAATAGCCTTCTAAGAAATTGAAAGGAAACACAACAACACAGAAAGCCTAGGAGAGTCAAGCCTTCCAAGGAAGGTTCCCTGCGTTTGGAATCCGGGAACAAGCACGGACTGCCTTCCTGAACCTCCAATGATGTCCCAATGGACGGCCCAGCTCGGTGGGCACTATGCCCGGCTTTCCTCCCGCCCCAGTTTCCAACAACCTGGACCCTCTCCATAGAGAGTGTGAGCTGGCTTGCTCCTACACAAATACACACGCATGCACAATCCACCAAAATACCCTGCTCCACACCAGGACACAGGCCAGCGCCGCTTTTCCTGCCCCCACTCCTGAGCCCTGCAGGGCCTGGCTCCCAGCCACTCAAACAACCCAGGGAATGGCAGATCCAGAGCTCCAGGCGGGCCCTGGGCCTTCCCCACCAGCCTGCCAAGCTTCCCAGTCACTCAGGGCCAGGAGCCCTGAGTTACTCACAGTCCCGGCCCTTCTCAGACAGGAGCCGCCTAATAAATCAGCTCCCCCGGCATCCTCCACCACCGGGAGGGGCAGGACAACCCGGAGAGTACAGGGTGGCCACTGCACCCCGGATGATGCAGCCCCCCACCAGCCTCATCCACGCGCACCCCATGGCTCGGCTCAGGCAGGAAGGTTCCTGAGATCACAGATGCCCACCCCCTGCATATGTTCACCCTTATCCACTCACTGCCATGCCCAGGCTGGGCCCCTGGCTCTCTCCCCCAGGCCTGACCCAGATGGGGACACTTCTTTCTCACCTCCATCTAGCCAAGCAAAGTTGGAAGTCATCAAAAGGAAGTTTACTAGGAAATCAAAGCGCGTGGCAGAGGAAGGGAGGGAAAAAAAGAAATGGCGCTGGCATGGAAACAGGATGCTTACTGGGCACCAGTTTGGGGCCCAAGTGGGAGGAAAGCCAAGCACAGGAAGGGCCCAGCTTGGCGGGCTCAGGTCTCCAGGCCTGGGCCCCCTGTGATTGGGGAAGTGCAGCCTGCCCCGTGGCCAGCCTCGACCCTTCCTGCAGCTCACCTGGCTTTGCTTAGCCCTGTCATCTCCCTGACAACGGCGCTGTGGCCGCAGAGCACTGTCCTTCCCTGCCAGAGACCCTCAACTCGCCCCCGTGCAGGCCCGGCCCCATTGGCCTGGGGCTCTGTCGGGGCTGCCCCAGCGCCTAGCACAATGCCTGGGACGCAGGAGCGCCTCGCAGCTTCTTGCTGACTAACCAGTGTAGGCGGGGATTCTGGAGTTGGACAAATCTGGGCTTGAACTTGGCTCTGCCTCTAATGGCTGAATGCTCTTGGTTGAGTCCTTAGCCTCCCATCTGTGAAAGAGTCAGCAGAGGGGGATTTTTTTCACAGGGTCGGTGTGAGGCTCGGAGGAGAAGAGGCTCATAAAGGCCAGTGGCTAGCATGCAGCAGATGCGGGACGGTTACATCCCATTTCTTAAGCTCTGAAGATGACCCTGTCAGTCTCCATAGGGTGATTCGACCATTTCTGAGCCTGTGAACCCGACTCAGCCAGTGACAGGTCTGGTGTCCTGCTGGGCGACCCTAGTCCCACCCTGGCCTCTACATCCTTCAGTGGGGGCGGGGGGCACACTTCACAGACACCAGGCATCCAGGGCTACCACCAGCAAGAGAAGGCCTCCAAGCCCCTGTCCCCCGGGCCCCCCCTCTGTACCAGTCCAGGGGCACCACTCCACTGTTCTTCAGGGCCAGGAGCACCACAGAGGGTGGGGCATCTATTGGTGCTGCCCCAAAATTGAAGTTGAGCTTCAGAGGGGTGAAGACAGAGGGGATCTGGCTGGTGCTGTGTGGAGCAGAGAAATGGTCTCAGAAACAGGGCTGGGGACAGGATGAGGCCCTTCCAGGGGTGGCTGGCTTGGCACCCATCTCCCCACAGGTGGGAATTGGAGAATCTGGGGCTCAGGGGCAGGGGTGGGTCAGCACTTTAGACCTCAGGCCCATCCCTGCCTTCTCCATGCTCCTCCGGGGATGGGCAGGAATTGGGGAGGAGATAGGGAGCCCCTTCTTGGACAGGGCCTGGGGCTGAGGGCATGGACGGAAAGCTCCAAGAACATCCCCAGACAGGCCCTGCCTCTCCCCCAGGCCCACCTCACCTGTGCCGGGTGGGCACTTTGTAGGTGAGTTCCCAGGGGGTGGGGTCGCGCTCCAAGTAACTGTTGAGCAGGTCTAGGGAGAAGAGGCGCCACAGGTGCTTCCGGGTGATGCCCTCGGCGCTGCCCATGGAGCAGATATCCAGGATGGAGAGTAGGGGGTACACGGCCATCAGGGACACGCGACACAGCTCCTGCTTCTCCCCAACCTTGTTATCTGGGGGAAAGCGGTGCGGGAGAGAGGGGTGGGCTCACCTCCCAGCTCCCCTGGGGCAGGGCGTACAGGCTGAGGATGCAGGGGTCCCGGGAAACCTGTCCTAGGACCCTTGTCAGGAGCAGACTCTGGGATGCTTCCAACAGTAGCCAAACTTTATCTGATACTTTCTGTGGACCAGGCACTGTCCTAAGAGCTTTGCAAACACCACTGTGCACTGTTTTCAAACTACTGATAATACTTACTAATGGCTTTATCGAGATATAATCTATATGCCATAAAATTAACCCTTTTAACACATACAATTCAGTGATGTTTTTTGTATATTCAGAGTTGTGCAACCATCACTACAAATTTTAGAACGTTCTCAGGCTTTCCCAAAGAAACCCAGTACCAAGTAGCTGCCACTCTCCGTTCAGCCCTGGCAACCACTAGTCTGCTTTCTGTCTCTGTAGATTTGCCTATTCTGGGTGTTTCACATAAATGGAATCATACAATGTGTAGCCTTTTGTGACTGGCTCCTTTCACTTGGCGTAATGTTTTCAAGGTTTGCCCGTGTGGTAACATGTACTTTATTTTTTTGCCTGTGCACCATTATTATCCCCGTTTTACAGATGTGGAAACTGAGGCATAGGGAGGTTAAACAAGTCACTAAGATTACATGGCTAATAAGTGATGAGGCCAGGATCCAATTCCAGGGAGTCCAACACTCCTGTGCTGGACTCCTGTCAGGCAGCCCCGGGGCAGGATGGTAACAACTTCGTTTTACGAAGGAGGAAACTGAGGCCCAGGGCAGCTGAGGATTTGCTTGCTTAAGATCCCACAGTAAATCAGCACAGCGCCCAGCCCTTCACGTTGAGTCCTCCACAGCTCAGGCACACACAAACGGACACCCACACATACAGATGTGGTTGGTATGAGGCATGTACACCAGACACCCAAAGGCACACCCTGGCACACTCACACCCACTCTGCCAGCTCTGAACCCTCGGCATCCTCCCACCCCAAGTCCTGCTCACACAGTCCTCCCCCTTTCCTCCCTGGTCCTGACTCTCCATGCCAGATGCCCCAGGTACCTCTGTGGGAGAGGAGAGAGTAGTTGATGGTCCAGGAGTACTGGGAACGGTGTTTGGGACAGGCGGTCAGGCAGACGGTGTCCTGGGACCGGGGCGGCATGCTCCCCTCTGTGCGGTCCAGCTGCAGAGCTGCTCAGGAATGACCGGGTGGGGTCAAGGGCAGAGGAGGCCCTCAGTGCAGCCCAGGGAGGTCCAGCCTTTCCTCTTGCTCCACCCCAGATACTCTCCCCTGGACCAGCATTGCTCTGGTTAGAGAGCAGGCCCTGAGCCAGGAAATGGGGAGCAGAGTGCTTCCTCCAGATCAAGACAGTGTGAGGACGTGTCTTGGTGTCACTGGCATGCTGAGCACTTTGCGCCACCTAGCTGCCCGGTGAGGCAGGCTCCACCAGCAGCCCCATTTTACAGATGAGGGAGTGGAGGCTCAGAGAGGACGATCACCTGGCAACGCCACGCATCTAGGAAGTGGAAGCACCACGTTTTAAGCCCTGCTCTGCCTGCCCCTGAACCATGGTCTGGTTAACCAGTCTTAACCAGCGCCCCTCATTGCCTGCCTCCCAGCCCAGTCCCGCCCAGGCCTGAGTACCGAGGGGGCCATTGCCGACAGCCTCAGGGCTGCACTGCTCCAGGAACAGGCGGTAATAGAGGGTGCAGTTGCCGTCATTCAGGAGCACCAGCATCCTGGTCTGCTCACTGTTCACCAGCACATTCCCAAAGTCCAGCTCCTTTTCCTTTGCCTGAGGGCCAGAGTCAGCCAGGCCGGGGTGGGGGGCTCCCCCAGGTCCACGGCCCCGTCTTTCCCAACCCTGGCCTCAGAGAATCCCCAAGGAAGGGCAGGTTCATGCACCCTGGGGCCTTCCCTCCCGCAGGTGCCCTGGTCCCCTGCCCCTTCCCTTTCCCCACCGGGGTCCTCCCACTCACGGACAGGTTGCTGCTGAGGCCCGTGCCCACCAGCCGGAGCATGTAGTGGGTGGTGGCGGAGGGCTTGGTGTTTGGGGGCAGGCCAGCTTCCCAGACCCACATCCCCACTCGGAACAGGTACTTGATCTCCTCCAGAGGGCTGAAGGTCCACGTCAGCGTCTGGGGTCACAAAGATTAGCCCTGCATGGGGGTCTCTGGGAACCCCTGCCCAGGCTCTTGGACCGCTAAGGTCCTGCTGCAGGATATCAGGCTACGGTAACCCATCCTGAGTGTCTCCCCGTGCCAGGCGCTTACACACATCATGTGCTATGTTATCTCGCTCCCTTAGCCCCACGAGGTAGGCGGTGTTCTTTTAGTGCCTCATTGTCTGATGAGAGGCTGGAGACTCAGAGGACTGGGGTGACTTGCCCAAGGTCACACAGCTGATGAGGGCGCTTAGCAGGAGCTGGGGTGTGCACTCTTGAGGTTGACTCCCAAGTCTGTGTGGTCTCTTGCCTTGCAGGTTACTACCCCCGGCTTCTAACAGACACCATGTGTTGGTGGTTCTTGGCTCAAGTTTGGCCTCCCCAACTAAGAGGCCCTAGACCAGGGATGGGAGCCTGCTAGTTTGGGCCCCCCCATGCCCCCCCCAGGGACCCGCCACTTTGACGTCCGCGAGCCCTCTTCCTCACTCCTTAATGGTAGCCACCCATTTGTCTCCACACCGTCTTCCAGTGATCCCTCCACCGTGGGGACCAGGGATGGAGAGTGGACTCGTTTCTGGGCACTGACATCAGAAACCCTGCTTCAAGTCCCAGCTTTGCACCTCCTAGCTCACAGTCTCAGTAAATGGCTATTTTTCGCCTCTAAGCCTCAATTCTTCTTTGTAAAATGGGGGTGTGGTAACAATCATACCGACGCATAAGGCTGGAAGAAATGACTGTGGATTGAATGGGAGGGTAAGCCTGCCCCCTGATAGGCATGAGTAAGAGATGCTGGTGAAGGTGAGGATGACGGGCCCCTTCCCTCTGGCCCTCGGCAGTGTGGCAGGGCACTCACAAGGCTCTCATTGGGCTGGATAATCCCCCTGGGGGGCTGCACAGCCAGCATCTTCCGGTGCTGCTGGGAGACCCTCCACTCAAACTCCAGAGGTAGACGCGATGGGTTTTGGAAGGTGAAGAGGCTGGTGGAGGAGCAACCCACCCAGGTGGGCTTGAAGAAGACGCTTTTACAGGTGTCCAGCTTCAGCTGCAGCGGCTCCTCCCGGCTCTGCATGCATACCTCCTGGGGCCAGTGAAGGGAGGACAGTGCCCTGACATCACCCTGAAGCCCTGGCTCCCCCAAAAGTCACGGGCGGGCAGCTTTTCCCCCCTCGGAGAGGGCAGCAAAAGGCCCTCCACCAGCCTGCGCACGGGCAGCTTCTGTCAAAGGCAGAGTATGTAGTGACTGACCCAGGAGATAAGGAAAAGAGCTCAGGGACTGAAAGAGGATGTACAGACCATTTCATGGGCCAGACATGGGTCCAACACCCTGGACCCTTTCCCTGCCCTGGTCCCAAACACCCTTCTACCACCTGCAGATATGAGTCTTGGGTTGCCCCCAGTCCTTCCTTGAGGACCTCTGTACCCCTTTTCTTGTCCCGACCCCATAAGGTGGACAGAAAGGGTCCTGAGGATAGCTGTTCCCAGATGTGGCCGAGGGGTCCTCTCCCTGCCGTGCCACTTCCTGGAGGAGGAATAGCCCCTGAGCTACTTTAGGGGAGCTTTAGAGGCCAGCCCCAGAATATGGCTTTGAAAAGGGAAGCCCCAGACTATGGCCCCCTCCCGAGGACCCAGTCCTTACCCCTGCCTCCTACCTTGAGATACTGGGGGCAGAAATTGAACTGCAAGTAGAAAACATGCTGCTTCCAGGAGGTGCCCTTGGGGTAGGTAGAGATGAGGAAGATCTGGTGGGCCCCAGGGGGCACGAGGCCCGAGCTGGGCCGTAGGGAGACGTCCGAGCTGCTTCTGGGGGCCAGGTTGAAGGTCAGCAGCATGGGGCCTGTGTTGATCAGGAGCAGGCTGCGGTAGGAGGGTTCACTGGGGGACACTGCAGGAAATAGCTGGGGTGCGAGAGAAGAGGGACCCACGCTCAGATCTACATGCCCTGCCCATCCCCACCTCACACACACACACACACTCAGGGAAGTCTGTGTGGGCTTGGGTAGAGACATCTCTCAGGAGATCCAAGATGCCTCTACACAACCCAGTCAGTGCCCTGGGGGCGGGGAATGGAGGAACACAGCTTGGCACCAAAAAATGCTTCTGTCCTCCAGAGACCTCCAGGCAGAGAGATGGGGTGGCCACAGGAACAGGCTCCGGGAAACTCAGGCCCCTGAGACCCCCCCACCCCAAGTTTCTTCCATCTTAGGGCACCCTCAAATCATCCTTTGGAGAACCCAGTTTCCAAGATCTTGGTCCAGAAGCTCTGGGGGTAAGCAGCCCCTTCTAGAGGATTCTCATGCTGGTAGCTGAGGGGAACCCCACTCTGGGAAAGGGAAAGCCCCAGCAATCCCAGCTTCCAAACATTCCTTAAGCATTTAGGGTGTGGCCAGCACCAGGCAAAGAGCTGGGCCGGGTACCAAACACAAGGCTGAAATCACTGCCCTGGGTGCCGCATGCAGCTGGGGTGATGAGCACCGTGCGTGAGGCAGTGGGGGTAGGGGGCAACACGGGCCCAGAATCTGCTGGATTTTAGTGAAGGCCACACACTGCTACGAGGAACTGGCCGAGGGAAAGGGGTGGGAGTCAGGGTCAGCGAGGGGGCCCCTGTGCCGTCAGAAGGGCTTTGGGAAGGGGTGCCCTTGAGCAGAAGTATAACTAGTGGGGGGGTGCAAGACCACCCCAAGTACATTGTCCAAAAGTGGCACCTTTCTAGCAACATGAGGCGTGGGGGAAGTGCAGACGGATGAAAAGACTGACGATGGAAATGGAAGCTGGGAAGAGGCATTGAAGGAGAAGCCAGGATTAGAACTTGACCGCCTGGCTCTAGAATCTATGTTTCTCAGCCTTGTGGCATCCTGGGGCTCAGGTCAGACGGGGCCTCCAAGGGCCCTTCTGAGAGACCTGGGAATGATGACTCCCTGAGGGTGGGGTTAAACCGAGGGGCGGGCTCTGTGACCCCTCCAGAGCTGGATGATCCCCACGGGCAGGGGCTCATGACGTGGGTGGTCATATCCCTAGCAGGCACTCAGTAAACACAGCGAACGGAGGAGCTGGAGACTTTTAAACCTGAGTGAGAGGACCGGGGAGTATTTCAGACGGGGCAGGCCGGAGCCATAGGTCTAAGCCCCAGCCTCTTCCCGGTCCCCGTGCTGCGGTCCAGGAGAGAGTCCTTGATGGGCGCAGAGCCCCAGGGGCTGGCAGTGGGGAGGTTGGGACGGCCAGGGAGGGTGCTTGACATGTTTCTGAGGCCATCAGAGACAGGAGAGGGATCTGCAGGCCACGGCAGAAGCCAGGCTCCCCTGTTCCACCTCCCACCGCTGCTGGGGCCACGCTCACCTTGGGGGCATCCAGGGTATACTGAGGGATGTGGTGCTCCAAGTCAGCACAATAACTGTGGCCTCGTGCCCGGAGCCTCAGGCACCAGGACGGGCACACAGTGCAGTCCTCTTCGATATTGTTGTAGCTCCGCAGGACCTGCAGGAGGGCCGGACGCATGGATAGGCTGAGTCCTGTGTCTGACCCTGTGGGGCACCCCAGCTTGCCTGCCCTGTACTGCAGGAGCCCTACATGGGGCCCAGCGGGAGGGGCCCTCTGGGAAGACAGCACGGAGAACAGCAGTCATAGCAGCCCCTCCCGCTGTGCGCCAGGCCCTGCCCTGAGCACTCAGCAAACGTGCTCTTTGATCCTCCCAGCCAGACGAGGGTGGGGCTGGGATGTGAAAGCAGCATTCACCCTGCAGGAATGTGCCCAGAGAGCACTGGCCAACAGAAATATAATGCAAGCCACAAGTGTGAGCCGCAAACGGCATTTTAAATGTTCTAGTCCCAGCAATCCCACTACTGGGCATATACCCTGAGAAAACCAGAATTCAAAAAGAGTCATGTACCACAATGTTCATTGCAGCTCTATTTACAATAGCCAGGGCACAGAAGCAACCTAAGTGTCCATCGACAGATGAATGGATAAAGAAGATGTGGCACATATATGCAATGGAATATTACTCAGCCATAAAAGGAAACGAAATTGAGTTATTTGCAGTGAGGTGGATGGACCTAGAGTCTGTTATACAGAGTGAACTAAGTCAGAAAGAGAAAAACAAATACCGCATGCTAACACATATATATGGAATATTAAAAAAAAAATGGTTCTGAAGAACCTAGGGGCAGGACAGGAATAAAGACGCAGATGTAGTGAATGGACTTGAGGACACTGGGAGGGGGAAGGGTAAGCTGGGATGAAGTGAGAGAGTGGCATGGACATACATACACTACCAAACGTAAAATAGATAGCTAGTGGGAAGCAGCTGCACGGGGAGATCTGCTCGGTGCTTTGTGACCACCTAGAGGGATGGGATAGGGAGGGTGGGAGGGAGAGGCAAGAGGGAGGAGATATGGGGATATATGTATACGCATAGCTGATTCACTTTGTTATACAGCAGAAACACACCATTGTAAAGCAATTATACTCCAATAAAGATGTTAAAAGATAAATAAATAAAAAGTAAATGTTCTAGTAGCCACATCAACAAGGTGAAACGCATAAAATTTATTCAACAATACATTTTATTTAACCCAGCTGATCCAAAATCTTTTCATTTCAACGTATAATCGATATATAAGTGATGCAGGAGGCATTTTGCATTCTTTTGTGCTAAGTCTTAGAAATCAGTGTGTCTCCCCCCTTTACAGCATATCTGTTTGGACTAGACACAGTACAAGTACTCAGCAGCCACATGTGGCTGGCGATTGGCATATCGGACAGCGCAGCCTAAAAGTCTGACAGGCTCAGCAAAGCCAGGTGTCCACAGCCTTATTCCTACGAACTTCCGAGTCCCGCCACTGCCAAGATATTAGAACAGAGACAACTAAAGACTCAGCTTTGAAAAAACTTCTCAGAAGTTTGGATATGCTCCCAAGTTCATAGATGAAAAGACCAGGGCTCAGAGGCATTAAGGGACGTGCCCAAGGTCACAGAGCTGGTAAGGGATTCTGATCTTGACTGCACAGCTCTCCTCTTCCCTGAGCCCCAGCACCCAGCCACTGGGAGAGAACAGCAGGGTGGGTAGAGCAGAGAAAGGAGGGAAAGGGCAGGATGGACTGGAGATGAGGAGGGAGCGACACGTCTGGGGCTAAGAGACGTGGCTGGGACAGCCTGGTCAAGGGAAGTTGGACTAGAAGCCGCTCCCTACACGCACCTAATCACCAGGTGCCCCTGACTCCGCCCCCCAGGCCCTAGTTCCTGCCCACAGCTCTTTTAGAGGGAGGCCAGGAGCCACCCCGCCACACCAGCCAGGAGCCCCAGGAAACTATGTGCACCAAAATTTTCCAAAGGGCTTGAGCCCCACTGAGTTCTCTCTCTGGAGGGGTGGGGGGCACATGTGAGTGAGACATAATCAGCTGGGTCAAGAAGCCCCTCGGCCAAGGCAGGCCATGAGCCTGGGAAAACACAGACCGCTAAGGCTGCAGTCCAGGCAAGGAGACAAGAAGAGGGAGCAGAGCCTGGCACAGAGAAGATGGATCCTACATCACCCCGTCACCCCCTCCGACCCCATACCCTGCCGTTCAGCCTCCAGGGCAGAGAACCCACCTTCCCCCTCTCATCTGCCCACACACCTTATAGACAGCAAAGGCTTCAAGCTCCACGGCGTACAGGCAGTTGGGGTGAGGCGGCTGGAAGTGCAAGCGCATGGCTGTGGACTTGAGAGGGGGCACATCGCAGGGGTTTGGAGTCACCCAGAAGGGGCAATCAGCCCTGCGTGTCCAGGCCACAGTGATTTTGCCTTTGGTGTAGTTCATCAGGCACAGGGGGACAGGGTTGGGGTCCTTGGGCCTGGGGCAGGCACCAAAATCCACCTCGACAGGCTCAATGCTGACGGGCGGGGGAAAGATGGTCATGTCGTTGGTGCCGTCGAAGAAGTACTCGGTCATGGGGGGGATGAGGGGATACTGCGGGGCTGGTATGTCCTCCAGGTCCTGTGTGGGGAGAGCCGGTTGCCGGGGGCCCAGCTGCCATTCCTCCTGCCGCTGCCCCTCATCTGCATGCTCCTTTCTGGAAAAGGCTACAAGAGCTCCACACACGTCACCCCCGACTACTAAGGGTACCCACAGGGCTATGGAGCACAGGACTGCCCAAGAATTGAGAAGGGGGCATGAACCTGGGGAGGGTAGCTAGCCCCCGGGGCCCCAGAGGGGTCCATCGAACCTCAGTGGGAATCATCAGGGCACCGTTCTTATCCTGCTCCAGCTTCTTCTCCCTCAGCATGATGTCCAGGATGTCAGGCGGGTAGAGAGTCAGGCCCCGCACCAGGTGTGTGCGGTACCAAGCGAGGTGCTGAGGCCTGAGGATGGCTGGCTTTGTGCTGTCCGAGTGACACGTCCCAATCAGGTCGAGGAACAGTGGGTCCTGCGACATTTGTCTGTGTGAGGCTAGATTTGAGCCTCCACTTGCCACCTTGGCCAGAGGCCAGCTGGTCAGGGCACAGTTTGTACCACCTTGTCCAGGGGCCTGGGTTGGGGTCGTCACTTCAAGGCTCTCTGCTCTGCACATGCTGCATGGGGCGAGGTCCAGTCCCCCCTACACCAGCCCATTAGCAGCATCAGCAGCAAAGTCCTTGGCCTGGCAGCAGTCCCAGCAAGACTGGCCTACCCACCCGGCTCGGAGCGAGCGTTCACATGCCCCTGGCCAAACTCTGGCTCCAAAAGCCAGACTGGGGCTCTGGAGGTGATGATCCAGGCAGACAGCCCTGGAAGTTCCAGAATACAGGGGACTGAGCACCAAGCACTGTCTTCATTACTAGGACTCGGATCGGCCCCTCCAGCTTCCCGGGGAGCCCCTCCTCACCCCCTCCCCCATAGCTCACCTGGTGGTGGATGAAACAGGCCACCCTCCGAAAGTAGATGATGGGGTGAGTGGGCTGGAAGGCACAGTACAGGGTCACGCGGGCCTTGCCCACCAGGGTCCCAAAGGCAGGTCTGATGCTGAAGACGCTCTCCTGACAGTCGATGTCAAACTGGAAGTGGGCCGTGCAGTCCGACTTGTTCTCAATCCACAGGGACTGCTCCGAGCGCTTCCCGAGGTTGACCCAGCTGAAGTCGACACAGTAGTACTGCAGGGACACATCAGGACCTGGGCGGAGGAGATGGGGGCTCTGTGAGTGGGCCCAGCCACCTGAGTGGGGCTGGGGTATCAGCCCCCCTGAGGCTATGTCAAAGGGTACCACTGATGGGAGGTGGTGCTGCCTGGAGACAGAAGGTTGGGTTGGAAAGGCCTGAGCGGACCACCAGGTCACCAGGGGTGAGCATGGGAACAATATCTCCAGGTGTCTTCAACTGGTTCCTCACTGATTCCACCAGGGGGCAGCAGACACCCAGGCTGAGGGCAAGGAGGCCCTGGGCGACCAGGAGCGGGCACTTGCCAATCCTAAGCATGGGTTGCTCCTGTCTCCAGAGGGAGTGCAGTGACCTGGGGCTGCCAGTACCTCTACAGAAACCAACGACTTTGAGCAGGGTTTGGGAGGCACAGCCAGAGGGCATGACGGACAAGTAGTCCATAGTCCTGACGTCCAAGGTCTTGGGGTGGAAGAACACTGACACGCATTTCTTCTCTCCCGGGGGCACGATGCCATGGGCCGTGGGGCACGAGAAGGCCTCGTCTTTGGCCAGCATGTCTGGGGCCACTTCAATCCTGAAGGGGGCGCTCACCTACGGGGCCAGGTGGGGACAGGAGGTGGTCAGGTCACAGGGTGGCTCGTCTGTTATTACCAAGGTGCCCCGCCGAGGGGGTGAGGGCAGCTGAAGCCCCACCTGTGCCTCAATCATCAGCTTTGACGGTGGAGCAAGGCTGCCTCTGCCGGGAGGAAGGAATGGGCCGAGCCGTGTGCCCTACACTGGGACCACCCAGAGGGGGCACCTTTTCCTTTTCTCAAAGGTACCACAAAGGCTGGCTGTGGTCCTGGCATCAGGACACCTTAGGACTTCTCTTGGAGTTGCTCTGGGGCAGGTCAAGGGATACCCCAGCCCAGCCCCAAGCTGACAGGAGAGTGGGACCCCTTTTGACATGAGTGTGTCAGCAGACATGGGTAAGTGAGGTTGCAACATTCTGTACAGGGGCTGAGTATTAGGAGCACCTGGCCCTGTGGTCCCTGAGTCCTGCCCCCACTCCCCCTATGTGCACAGGACGCATACCACCGATGGGTTATACAGCTTGATCTGCCTCTCAGCGGTGCAGCCCACGGCAACAGAGCCAAAGTGCAACACTTTCTGGATGCCCTCGGCATCCTGGTCCTCCGGGCGCTTCTGCCTTATGCTCACCAGCAGTTGGGCGCATTTGGCTGTGCAGAGAGGGGGGAGTCTTGGGGAGAAATCCACCAGGGCCTCTGTGGCCCCAGCTGAACAGCCCTTCAGAGAAGACGGGGGTCCCCAGGGAAACACTGGTCTGCGACACCAAGGAAGACAGAGAAAAGGCAAAGCCTGCAGGGCTCAGGGGAGGGCAGGAGGCTGGAGGAGGTCCCGTGGAGGCCAGAGCAGGGCAGGGTGGGGGGGGAAGGGGGGAGGGGCACACTGCGGCTTCGATCCTTGCAGAGGACGGTTGAGAGGTCGGGCCTCACCCACAGCCTGCAGCTGGATGCTGCTCTTCTGCTTCCTCCCCTCCCCGTACCAGCACGTGGCCTGAACGTCAGAGATGACAGCCATAAGGGGCTGAAAGGTCACCGTGATCCGGCAGGCCTGGCCTGGCTCCAGCAGCCCCGTGGTCGGCAACATCTGGAATGGGCTGGGGGACTCCCAGGTGAAGAAGGTGGGCAGGTCCCTGGAGGGGGTGGCAGGTTAGAGCCACTGGGCTCACTGACCACTGCCCCTGCTTTAGAAAGGCTGGGATGCCCCCTTTACTCCCCCTATCCCCTTACACCATCACACAGGCCAGTCTCTCCTGCTCCCAGGAACCCTCCTCACAGTTCTCACTCTTCCCACTTCTGAGCCTCAGCCACGGCCCTCACCCCGCATTGTCCAGACAGAACCAGGCCTCGGCCATGTCCCCCGTGGCACACATGGGCAACTGCAGGGACGGTGGGCAGATCAGATTGTGGCAGGGCAGGGTGGCTCTCAGGTCCACACAGAACATCCCCTCTGCTTTCTCAAACCACAGCTGGTCCACGTACTCCTTCTGCAGTGTGGGGGCAGGGAGGCAGAGGCCCTGGTTGATCAGCGGTACCCGGGTGGTACTCAAGGACCACTCACCTGAGCCCAGCCCTTGGCCATCCCCTCAACACAACTGCTGAGGGCTGGGCTGGGCTATGGCCCTCCATCTCAGTCTCTGAAGAGAGGGTCAGTTACTTGTGTTCCAGTACCATCTTGGTCTCAGAGATGTAGGGCTTCTTTTGTGAGGAACAAAGTATTTGGGGAAACATTTTGAGAGTAGGAAGAGCCCAAGGAATATAGGGCTTTCTGATGGCCAACACAGTAGCACAGCCTTTTCCCCCAACAACATCCAACTGGGAAGCCCCCTCTATCTAATGAGTTTTGGCTCCAGCTGGTGGGATGTGGGTGTGGTGGGAGAGCTCCTCGCTGCTCTGCCCTACATCCTGCTCTGAGGTCACTGTGCCTGTGTCCCTCCCTGCCCTCCGCTCACCATGGCAGACCTTACCTCCTCCAGGGGCCGGAAGATGATTGGGAGAGAGAGGGTTATGCCTGGGCTCAGGAAGATGGGCTGGGGGATGACCGTGAAGAAGAATTTGGTCTTGGGGGGCCTGTGGGAAGGAGCCAGAGGATAAGCACTTCAGGATCAGAAAACTAGGAGAGGCAGAAAGATTAGGGAAGATTCTGGAAAGCCAAGCAGACTTGAATCTGTGGGACCATGGAAGGAGAAACACAGGTGTTCTGTCATAGGAGGAACTGTCTCCCTCATCCTACCACTTCTCTTGCAGACCTTCACTCTAGGATGTCAGAGCACTGAATGAAAAGATACAGGGTCAAGGGAGCAGCACTTGTACCTCAGATGCACATGGTGGTCAGTGGGGTCTGGGATGGGGAAGGCTGCCCTGATTTAACCAAATCCCTGAGCACTTAGCTGGGGGAAACCAAAGCTGAGAACAGATGTGCCAGGGATGCATTTCCAAGCAGAGATCTTGGCACAGCTGTAGAGTTCCACAGTGGGTCAAAACTATAGATTCTGCAAACTTCAAAAATACTAATAGGGGACTTCCCTGGTGGTGTAGTGGTTAAGAACCTGCCTGCCAATGCAGGGGACACGGGTTCGAGGCTGGTCTGGGAAGATCCCACATGCTGTGGAGCAACTAAGCCCGTGTGCCACAACTACACGCCTGCGCTCTAGAGCCCATAAGCCACAACTACTGAGCCTGTGTGCCACAACTACTTAGCCCATGTGCCACAACTACTGAAGCCTGCACACCTACAGCCTGTGCTCTGCAACAAGAGAAGCCATGAGAAGCACGCGCACCACAATCAAGAGTAGCCCCCGCTCGTCCCAACTAGAGAAAGCCCACGCGCAGCAACAAAGACCCAATGCAGCCAAAAATAAATAAATAAATTTATTTATTTTTAAAAATATATTAATAAGAGGCCAATATTATCAAAAAATCTATAGCAATAAGTTCAGATAAAATAAACATATTCTTAGGAATGTATAATTGACCAAAACTGTCTCAAGAATTATACATTTTATGGCCACCCTTTCTAAAAGTATCCAAAAAATTGAATAAATAGTCAAAAATCTTCCCACAAAGAAAACACCAGGCCAGATGGCTTCCCAGCAAGTAGTACCAAGCGTCTGATAATCCTTGTCTTCTCTTCCCAACAGCAGAAAACAAGGAAACCCTCCCCACCATATTCTATGAATCCATCATAACGTTGTTATCAAACCCTGACAGTTATGAGAAGAAAGGAAAATTACAGGCTAATATCACCCATAAACAAAATATTGGCAGAAAGAATTTAGCAATCTGTATAAAAAGAATACTCAATCATGACCAAGTTGGGCTTATTCTAGGAATACACAGTTGGTGTAACATTAAAAAAATCAGTTAATGTAATTCACCATATTAACAAATTAAGAGAGAAAAAAATCAAATGATCGTCTCAATAAAGAAAAATATTAAACTTCAATATATGTTTATGACAAAAAGTCTCAGCAACCTAGAAATAGAAGGAAACTTCCTTAACCTGATAAAGTCTAAAAAAAAAAAGAAAGAAAAAACCACAGGAACCATCCAAATTAATGGTGAAACACTGGAATCTTTCATGCTGAGATCATGAACAAAACAATGATGCCTTCTATAACAGCTTCTGTTCAACACTTTCCTTTTCAACAGTGCAGTAAGGAAAGACAAAGAAAGAAAGGAGATAGGGTTGGAAAGGAAGGAAAAATGCCATTTTCATATAAGATATGAATGTGTATGTGGAAAAAAGAATTAACAAATACATTATTATAGTTAACGAGAGAACTTACCAAGGTTTCTGGGCACAAGATTATGCACAAAACATCCATATTTTTTAAAAATGACTTTCTATAAAGCCAGGAACAAGCAGAAAATGAAACAACTTTAAAAGAGATCATACTCAGCATCATCAAAAATATAAAACACTTAGGGATAAATCTAACTAAAGATGTGTAAGATATCTACAGAGAAAAATCTATATTTTATTGAGAGACATGAAAGAAGACCTAAAGAAATATAAAGATAAACCATGAGTCATGAAAGATAAAAACTGTCATGAAAGACTCAGTTTGGAATGACATCAAGTCTCCCCAAATTAACCTATAGTTTCAAATAAATCCCAATCAAAATCTCAAAAAGTAGTTTATGTGTGTGTGATAAGCTGATTTGAAGACATATATGAAAGTTCAACAGCCCAAGGATAGCCAAGACAATCCTGAATAAGAATGAAGTTGGAAGACTTACACTACAAGATATTCAAGATTTATTATAAGCTCTAATAATTAATTCAGGATGATATTTATTGGCCCAGGGAAAGACAAATAGAGCAAGGGAACAAAACAGAGTTCAGAAATGGATCCATACATATATGGACACGATATACATCAGTGGTGAGGGAGATCATCAGGGAAGGTATGAACTTTTCAGTGAATGGTGTTGGGACAATTGGACATTTGGTTGAGGAAAAAAAATGTCATTGGATCGCTGCTTGAAACCATTCACAAAAATCAATTCCATATAGATAAAAGACAAATATTAAAGGCAAAATTATAGTCTTTAGAAGATACTATAAGAGAATATCTTCATGACCTAGGTAAGGGTAGAGAAAAACTTCTTAAACAAGATACAAAAAAGCGTCAACCATAAAAGAAAAATATTGGTACATTTGATTCCTTTGAAATTAAGAAATTCTTTTCTTCAAAAGACATGATAGAGTAAAAGACAAGTCACAAAGTGGGAGAAGATATTCACAACACAGAACTGACAAAGGATTAGTATCCTCAACAAGAATTTCTATTTAAAAAAGACATTATAAGGGCAGACAGCAGAAGCAAGAAGAACTACAATCCTGCAGCCTGTGGAACAAAAACCATATTCACAGAAAGATAGACAAGATGAAAAGGCAGAGAGCTATGAACCAGATGAAGGAACAAAATAAAACCCCAGAAAAACAACTAAATGAAGTGGAGATAGGCAACCTTCCAGAAAAAGAATTCAGAATAATGATAGTGAAGATGATCCAGGACCTCGGAAAAAGAATGGAGACAAAGATCAAGAAGATGCAAGAAATGTTTATCAAAGACCTAGAAGAATTACAGAACAAACAAACAGAGATGAACAATACAATAACTGAAATGAAAACTACACTAGAAGGAAACAATAGCAGAATAACTGAGGCAGAAGAATGGATAAGTGACCTGGATGACAGAATGGTGGGATTCACTGCTGCAGAACGGAATAAAGAAACAAGAATGAAAAGAAATGAAGACAGCCTGAGACCTGTGGGACAACATTAAACGCAACAACATTTGCATTATAGGAGTCCCAGAAGGAGAAGAGAGAGAGAAAGGACCCGAGAAAATATTTGAAGAGATTATAGTCGAAAACTTTCCTAACATGGGAAAAGAAATAGCCACCCGAGTCCAGGAAGTGCAGAGAGTCCCATACAGGTTAAACCCAAGGAGAAACACTCTGAGACACATAGTAATCAAACTGGCAAAAATTAAAGACAAAGAAAAAGTATTGAAAGCAGCAAGGGCAAACGACAAATAACATACAAGGGAACTCCCATAAGGTTAACAGCTGATTTCTCAGCAGAAACTCTGCAAGCCAGAAGGGAGTGGCACGATATACTTAAAGTGATGAAAGGGAAGAACCTACAACCAAGATTACTCTAGCCAGCAAGGATCTCATCCAGATTTGATGGAGAAATCAAAAGCTTTACAGACAAGCAAAAGCTAAGAGAATTCAGCACCACCAAACCAGCTCTACAACAAATGCTAAAGGAACTTCTCTAACTGGGAAACACAAGAGAAGAAAAGAACCTAAAAAAAAAAACCAACCCAAAACAATTAAGAAAATGGTCATAGGAACATACATATTGATAATTACCGTAAACGTGAATGGATTAAATGCTCCAACCAAAAGACACAGGCTTGCTGAATGGATACAAATAAAAGACCCGTATATATGCTGTCTACAAGAGACCCACTTCAGACCTAGGGACACATACAGACTGAAAGTGAGGGGACGGAAAAAGATATTCCATGAAAATGGAAATCAAAAGAGAGCTGGAGTAGCAATACTCATATCAGATAAAATAGACTTTAAAATAAAGAATGTTTCAAGAGACAAGGAAGGACACTACATAATGATCAAGGGATCAATCCAAGAAGAAGATATAACAATTATAAATATATATGCACCCAACATAGGAGCATCTCAATACATAAGGCAACTGCTAACAGCTATAAAAGAGGAAATCGACGGTAATACAATAATAGTGGGGGACTTTAACACCTCACTTACACCAATGGACAGATCAACCAAAATGAAAATAAATAAGGAAACAGAAGCTTTAAATGACACAATAGACCAGATAGATTTAACTGATATTTATAGGACATTCCATCGAAAAACAGCAGATTACACTTTCTTCTCAAGTGCGCACGGAATATTCTCTAGGATAAATCACATCTTGGGTCACAAAACAAGCCTCAGTAAATTTAAGAAAATTGAAATCGTATCAAGTATCTTTTCTGACCACAACGCTATGAGATTAGAAATCAATTACAGGGAAAAAAATGTAAAAAACACAAACATATGGAGGCTAAACAATACGTTATTAAATAACCAAGAGATCACTGAAGAAATCAAAGAGGAAATCAAAAAATACCTAGAGACAAATGACAATGAAAACACAATGATCCAAAACCTATGGGATGCGGCAAAAGCAGTTCTAAGAGGGAAGTTTACAGCTATACAAGCTTACCTCAAGAACCAACAAAAATCTCAAATAAACAATCTAATCTTACACCTAAAGGAACTAGAGAAAGAAGAATAAACAAAACCCAAAGTTAGCGGAAGGAAAGAAATCATAAAGATCAGAGCAGAAATAAATGAAATAGAAACAAAGAAAACAATAGCCAAGATCAATAAAACTAAAAGCTGGTTCTTTGAGAAGATAAACAAAGTTGATAAAACATTAGCCAGATTCATCAAGAAAAAGAGGGAGAGGACTCAAATCAATAAAATTAGGAATGAAAACGGAGAAGTTACAACAGACACCGCAGAAATATAAAGCATCCTAAGAGACCACAGCAACCAACTCTATGCCAATAAAATGGACAACATGGAAGAAATAGACAAATTCTTAGAAAGTTATAACCTTCCAAGACTGAACCAAGAAGAAATAGAAAATATGAACAGACCAATCACAAGTAATGAAATTGAAACTGTGATTAAAAATCTTGCAACAAACAAAAGTCCAGGACCAGATGCCTTCACAGGTGAATTCTATCAAACATTTAGAGAAGAGATAACACCCATCCTTCTCAAACTCTTCCAAAAAATTGCAGAGGAAGGAACACTCCCAAACACATTCTATGAGGCCACCATCACCCTGATACCAAAATCAGACAAAGATACTACCAAGAAAGAAAATTACAGAGCAATATCACTAATAAATATAGATGAAAAAATCCTCAACAAAATACTAGCAAACAGAATCCAACAACACTTTAAAAGGATCGTACACCATGATCAAGTGGGATTTATCCCAGGGATGCAAGGATTCTTCAATATATGCAAATCAATCAATGTGATACACCATATTAACAAATTGAAGAAGAAAAACCATATGATCATCTCAATAGATGCAGAAAAAGCTTTTGACAAAATTCAACACCCATTTATGATAAAAACTCTCCAGAAAGTGGGCATAGAGGGAACCTACCTCAACATAATAAACGTCATAAATGACAAACCCACAGCAAACATCATTCTCAATGGTGAAAAACTGAAAGCATTTCCTCTAAGATCAGGAACAAGACAAGGATGTCCACTCTCACCACTATTACTCAACATAGTCTTGGAAGTCCTAGCCACAGCAATCAGAGAAGAAAAAGAAATAAAATGAATACAAATTGGAAAAGAAAAAGTAGAACTGTCACTGTTTGCAGGTGACATGATATTGTACATAGAGAATCCTAAAGATGCCACCAGAAAACTACTAGAGCTAATCAATGAATTTGGTAAAGTTGCAGGATACAAAATTAATGCACAGAAATATCTTGCATTCCTATATACTAATGATGAAAAAATCTGAAAGAGAAATTAAGGAAACACTCCTATTTATCACTGCAACAAAAAGAATAAAATACCTAGGAATAAACCTACCTAGGGAAGCAAAAGACCTGTATGCAGAAAAGTATAAGACACTGATGAAAGAAATTAAAGACGATACCAACAGATGGAGAGATATACCATGTTCTTGGATTGGAAGAATCAATATTGTGAAAATGACTATACTACCCAAAGCAATCTACAGATTCAATGCAATCCCTATCAAATTACCAATGGCATCTTTTATGGAACTAGAACAAAAAAAAATCTTAAAATTTGTATGGAGACACAAAAGACCCCAAATAGCAAAAGCAGTCTTGAGGGAAAAAAACAGAGCTGGAGGAATTAGACTCCCTGACTTCAGACTATACTACAAAGCTAGAGTAATCAAGAAAATATGGTACTGGCACAAAAACAAAAACATAGATCAAAGGAACAAGATAAAAAGCCCAGAGATAAACCCACGCACCTATGGTCAACTAATCTATGACAAAGGAGGCAAGGATATACAATGGAGAAAAGACAGTCTCTTTAATAAGTGGTGCTGGGAAAACTGGAGAGTTACATGTAAAAGAATGAAATTAGAATACTCCGTAACACCATACACAAAAATAAACTCAAAATGGATTAGAGACCTAAATGTAAGACTGGACACTATAAAACTCTTAGAGGAAAACATAGGAAGAACACTCTTTGACATAAATCACAGCAACATCTTTTTTGATCCACATCCTAGAGTAATGGAAATAAAAACAAAAATAAACAAATGGGACCTAATGAAACTTAAAAGCTTTTGCACAGCAAAGGAAACCATAAACAAGACGAAAAGACAACCCTCAGAATGGGAGAAAATATTTGCAAACGAATCAACAGACAAACGATTAATCTCCAAAATATATAAACAGCTCATGCAGCTCAATATTAAAAAAACAAACAACCCAATCCAAAGAAGACATACAGATGGCCAAGATGCACATGAAAAGCTGCTCAACATCACTAATTATTAGAGAAATGCAAATCAAAACTACAATGAGGTATCACCTCACGCCAGTTACAATGGGCATCATCAGAAAATCTACAAACAACAAATGCTGGAGAGGGTGTGGAGAAAAGGGAACCCTCTTGCACTGTTGGTGGGAATGTAAATTGATACAGCCACTATGGAGAACAGTATGGAGGTTCCTTAAAAAACTACAAATAGAACTACCATACGACCCAGCAATCCCACTACTGGGCATATACCCTGAGAAAACCATAAATCAAAAAGAGTCATGTACCAAAATGTTCATTGCAGCTCTGTTTACAATAGCCAGGACATGGAAGCAACCTAAGTGTCCATCAACAGATGAATGGATAAAGAAGATGTGGCACATATATACAATGGAATATTACTCAGCCATAAAAAGGAACGAAATTGGGTCATTTGTTGAGACGTGGATGGATCTAGAGACTGTCATACAGAGTGAAGTAAGTCAGAAAGAGAAAAACAAATATCGTATATTAACGCATGTATGTGGAACCTAGAAAAATGGTACAGATGAACCGGTTTGCAGGGCAGAAGTTGAGACACAGACGTAGAGAACAAACGTATGGACACCAAGGGTTGGGAAAGCCGCAGCGGGGGGGGGATTGTGGTGTGCTGAATTGGGCGATTGGGATTGACATGTATACACTGATGTGTATAAAATTGATGACTAATAAGAACCTGCTGTATAAAAAAATAAATAAAATTAAATTTAAAAAAAAGGAAAAGACAATCTAGCACAGCAAAGGAAACCATAAAGAAAATGAAAAAACAACCCACAGAATGGGAGAAAATATTTGCAAATGAACTGACCGACAAGGGATTAATCTCCCAAATATACAAAAGGCTCATGCGGCTCAATATTGAAAAAGCAAACATCCAATCAAAAAATGGGCAGAAGATCTAAAAAGACATTTCTCCAAGGAAGACATACAGATGGCCAAGAGGCACATGAAAAGATGCTCAACATCACTAATTATTAGAGAAATGCAAATCAAAACTACAGTGAGGTATCACCTCACACCAGTCAGAATGGCCATCATCAAAAAATCTGCAAACAATACATGCTGGGGAGGGTGCGGAGAAAAGGGAACCTTCCTATACTGTTGGTGGGAATGTAAACTGATACAACCATTATGGAGAACAGTATGGAGTTTCCTTAAAAAACTAAAAATAGAGCTGCCGTATGATCAAGCAATCTCACTCTTGTGCATATATCCGGAGAAAACCATAATGCGAAAAGATACATACACCCCAATGTTCATTGCAGCACTATTTACAATAGCCAGGACATGGAAGCAACCTAAATGTCCATTGACAGAGAAATGGATAAAGAAGATGTGGTACACATATATACAATGGAATATTACTCAGCCATAAAAAAGAATGAAATAACGCCATTTGCAGCAACATGGATGGACCTAGAGAATATAATGCTTAGTGAAATAAGTCAGACAGAGAAAGACAAATTCTTTATGATATCACTTATATGTGCAATCTAAAAAATAAAACAAATGAATGTATATAGCAAAACAGAAACAAACTCACAGATATAGAAAACAAACCAGTGGTTACCAGTGGGGAGAGGGAAGTGGGGAGGGGCAAGATAGGGACATGGGAGACATATACAGTCCCAAACTGGAAACAACCCAAACGTCCCTTAACAGAAGAATGGGTGAATATGGAGAAGCATACATTGGACTATTATACTGTGATGAAAAAGGATGAACTATATCTGCATGTGGATGAGTCTTACGAACATAACTGAGCAAAATAAAAGTGTAACGGGGCCTTCCCTGGTGGCGCAGTGGTTGAGAGTCCGCCTGCCGATGCAGGGGATACGGGTTCGTGCCCCAGTCCGGGAAGATCCCACATGCCGCGGAGCAGCTGGGCCCATGAGCCATGGCTGCTAAGCCTGTGCGTCCGGAGCCTGTGCTCCGCAATGGGAGAGGCCACAACAGTGAGAGGCCCGTGTACCGCAAAAAAAAAAAAAAAAATGTGTAACAAAATATACCATGTTATCCCACTTATATAAAGTTCATAAGAAGGAAAAATTAAACTATAACATTTAGGGATACAAACATAAGTGGTAAAACCTTTTGAGAAAAACAAGAAAATCATTATCATGAAAGACAAGGTATTGGTTGCCTTTATGGGTAGGGAAGGTGTTCCAATGCGGGGGACACATAGTGGGAGAAGGTGAGCTTCAGACACTGTTAGTATTCCATTATTTAATCTGGTCACAATTATTCAACAATTATTCAAATTGTACTCTCAACAATTATTCAAGCTGTACATATTTTATATACTCTTCTGGTTTTATATGACATTTTAAAGTGTGTTTTTTAAGAGTGGCTGCTTTGGGGGCTTGAAGGCTCAGGGGCTTAGTCTCTGATCGCTCATACTGGTACCTGTACTTTATCTTCTGGATTTTCAAGGATAGATTTTTCAGAACTAGGTTCTTGGTGATCTCCTTCCCCAACTCCCAGCGTTTCCACTGAAGCTCCTCAGCCACCTCAATGCCCCAGATGACCCTCTTCTTCACTTTGTCCTGCTTCTTTGGGAAGCACTTCTGAGTATCCATGGAACTGGCAGGCTGTCTGGTCGGCAGGGAGAAAGGGGAGAAGCAAGTGGGATAGGATTCAAAGACCCAGAGAATGGGCAAAGATCTCCCCACCTCCAGAAAGTAATGAATCACACCACTCTTCACCCCTGGGGGATGGTCTGGAGAGAGAAGGTGAGGGGCGGGTAGGCGAGTCAGATATTACCTCTTCTGAGGTCACTGGAATGGTTTTCCAACTAGATTCCCAGAGACCCTGCCCATGAAGCCTTCCCTGGCCACCGCACGGGCCATTCCACCTGGCACGCTCAGCAGCCTTAGCCTCCCTGTTGTGCTCCTCAGTGTGCCCTCAGATCCCGGCCTGTTCAGATGCTGCCTCCTCCTCCTCTGCCTGCCATCCTACCCCTTCGCCACAGAAGCCTCTCCTAGTTGGAGTGGTCTATCCCCGGCACTTTTCCAGAGCACAGGGATACACCGCCATTCCCTCTTCCAACCCTCACCTAGCTGGTAGAGCAGAAGAAAGAGCCAATTTGCCTGCGACCAACCCGCACCCCGTGCCTTGACTTCGAGACCACCCCCAGCACTTCTCCTAATGATGCTAGAGGTTCGCTACGCCAACGCTTCTTGTCTGCAATGGAAAATCCTTTCATAGGTGAATCCCTAGCCCCTATCTATCCGAGGAGGGAGGGAGATGGAAAAATCCCTGGGGTGGCAAGATGGCAGAAGGATGAAACAGGTGCCTCTTCCTACCAGTCATCGCTCTGAAAGTAAATTCACTGCCATTTAACTTTATCTTTGACCAAGTATTGTTTTTATGTCATTACATAACATAAGGATATATTTATCTATTCGACAGATATTTGTTGACTACCTATGATGCAATGGACATTGTATTAGGTGCCAGGACTATAAAAGTGAACAGGACTGGCAAATCCCTTCTTTCTTGGAACTATATCTCAGTTTATAGAGAGTGTCGGATGGCCTGATCTGCCCATGGAGGAAAGGTGACTTGGGTGAGCAAGGATCATTTATTATAAATATCAATTGGTGCATCAGTTAGGGTCCAACCAGGAAAACAGAAGCCACTCCGGGTGTTTAAAATAAGGAATTTAATGCACAACCAGGGGACAGTGAAGTAACCCCAAAGTTAACAACATCAAGAAGCTGCCACCACACGTAGGTTAGGGGAAGTGGTGGGGTTCTCAGAGCCCAGAGGCCTGTCTGGTGGGGACTGGAGTCACAGGGAGATGCAGCTGCTGATGCAGACACTGTCAAAAGCAGAGAGGGGAGAAGATAAATAGCCTGGCTTCTCCCTTCTTCCCAACTTCCAATCTCCTGCCAGCTCAGAGCAGAGCGGGGAAGGGCAGTGAGTGAACCTGTGAGCAAACTGGGCCAGAATGGTACAGATGGAGGGGTGAGATGACCCTGGTCCACACAGAGGCAAATGCAACCACCATCACATCTAAGGAGACATGAGAATTCACAAATGATACAGACACATGCTGCACAAATGCAGTGAGACCCCGTAGTTACATCCCTAGACAAGCACCCCCCCTGCCCTGGTCCTGCGCTATCACAGAGAGAGACCCCCGAGAGCTGCGAGAAGTAAACAACATCCATCCACTGGACAAACACAAAGCCCTAGGGCTCAAGACCAGAAGAGCTTTTTGAAGGAAGAGAGAACTACTGGCTACTCTATCAGCCCCCAGCTGGCATCTCTCCAGCGTTCTCCCCACTCCACCATCACGCTTACAGCTGCCACCACTCCAGTTAGCATAGGGCTCAATGTATGTAGGGTCTAGTACTGGAGTTTAGACAGGAGAGTGGGGTCGTCTCAGATTCCTACCCCCGCTGCCCTGCTGCCCATCTACCCTGCTTGGCCCTGCTCCACCCACTCCACCCGCCCCACACATGTCCTCACACAGGCACTAGCATTGCTGCTGCTGTAGGCACTCATGGCCACGCTGCTGCCAGTGATGGTGGGAAAGGCCACTGTGCTGGCACTCAGGCATGATCCGGAGTTCATGGTGTAGTCCCTGCTGTCCTCATGAGGAGGCTTAGGGCTGCCCCGATGAGCATCCGGTGCCTGGAACACAAGTCCAAGGGAAGCTCTCTGGCTAAGACAGGAGTTCCTGCCAGTTGGGAGCTGGGAAGAGACCAGAGGGGAGGCAGGAGGGGCATGAAAAAGAGGAGTCAATGAAGAAGACTCACCATAGCCATCATTTTCATAGAGGGGTGTCTGCTTCCTAGCTCTGGCAACAGGTGTGAAGTAGCACCGTGAGGAACAAGACTGAATGCAAGATCCAGGGCTTTGTCTGGGAGCCTAGGGACTCACCATTCAGGAAAGGCCATTTGGAAAAGGGCACTGGGGATGAGGCCCAGGCAGCCCTGCTCTCCAAGGCTGCACTTGGCATTTCTCAGCAAGCCCCCAGTGAGTGCTACTGAAGCATTTGCATTACCTTTACTTGGCTTTTACTCTCTACTTCTTTCCTCTGAACGTGGCTTTCCTCCTGTGGGAAAAGGAATGAGAGTCAAAGAAGAAGCAAATGAGACTGGAGAATTCTTGGGCTTCTGGGTTTCCTCTATTAGTACACGACATGTAGTCCAGGTTTAAAGGAAGCATTCACTAAACTAATGACTCAGTCCAAATATAAATGAATCAACCTCTAAAACAGAGGGATCCATCGATAGACTGCGGCTGGAAGTTATATGCAAATACATGCAAATGTTATAGACAAATTATATGCAAAATGTCATGGGTTTGGGCATGTGCTCTTTTCCAGGGAGAGTGTCCACAGCTTTCACCAAATGCTCAAAAGGGTGCTTGGCCCTGCTCTAGGGGACACAGAAGTGTCCCAAACTGGCTCTGGCTCCCTCTCAAATTCCCCTTCCTTTAGCAAGCTTCCTTCAGCACATATACCCAGGTATGGCTACTATATTGGACAGCATCAATGTAATCCTTTTTTGAACATGTATACCTTTTTAAGACTACTCAGTATCCTAGCCCATCTCTTTGAATAGCAATCTCAAAAGTAATAACAACTTCTAAGAACATTTACTAAGAACTTATCATGTGCCAAGCAGTGTTGTAAGTCCTTCACATATATTTTAATTCTTACAACAATTTATGATTAAATGGAATTGCCTTTTATTTGGCCTAAAATTATCTCTCTTCAAGTCTGGGGTTCAGCTCCCTTTTACAACATATTATGCTTTAGTAAACAATTTCATGATCGCCCTTTAGAAAGTTCCACGTTTCCATCAGACACTCTCCCGTCCCCTCCCCACTACCCATTCAGAACAAAAGATTCTGTTGATGCACTTTTTCCTAATTGGCAATATGTCCAAACCCTCTGGAGGGGATTATCTTACATTCACTCATTCATTCATTCACAAGGCATTTACTGAGTGCCTGCTATGTACCAGTGCTAGGCACAGGACAGGACAGGCAAGGCTCCTACGTTTGGTTGTGAAGTGAATGTTCAGATGGAATCAAAGAAATGCAAGCTGGGGAGATAGGGAGGAAGGTCCCATTACTTCTCTGCTATTGGATGGCTTTGTAGTACTTCCCCGGCTCATTAATGCCTGTTACCTTAGGGGATTCTACAGACAGCCCCTGCCTCAAGGCTCTGAAAAAATTTCCAATCAACACTTGTAGGAAAAATGAGAGACAGTGGGATAGAAAGCTGGTCCAGACCAGGTCTTAGGGCTTAGAAGTGAGCACTGGTCCTGGAGCAAGAAAAGCTGGGTTGAAGCATCTGCTCAGATTCGTTTAAGATGGGCAAGTTTCTCCATCTCCTTAAGCCTCAGCCTCCTTACCTGTAAAATGAGGGTTATCATATTTCACAAAATTGATGTGAAGCTTGAAAGAAATAGAGATGTGAAAAAGCCCTAGACAAACCTATGTTACTATAATGAACAATTACAACCTCCACACTACCACGTGCTACTCTTCCAAAAGATTCACACATCTGCAATCATTGTGAGGACACTGGGCAAGGGAGGTGTTGTTTTAAATCTTTTTCTAATCTTGAGGATCTTAAAAAAATATCATCAGCTTCCTTTATTTGCCTAATTTCCAACCTAAAAATTCCTAAGATGACCAGTGTAAAAAGTGGCGGGTCGCCGAGTAGAGGGAGGAAGAAAGAGGTAAAAAGAAGGAATAAAATATACTTAGAGCTGTTCCACCATCGTCTAAGAGATCCCCAGGCTGATCTCGCCCAAGTCTTAGTCCCTCCGGGCTCTCTGAAGGACACCGAGGGGATCCCTGGTTACGACTTCCCAAAGGAGACCGTCTCCCAAGACAGATACCTTCCCTGGCCACTCGCGCGGCTCCCCTTGGTCGCTTGGACCAACGCTCAGAACTCACACCGCCGCCATGTTGTCGTCTCTATAGATACAGGACGCGCAGGACACGGCGTCTCCTGGTATCCCAGGGCAACGACGGCTACCCGAAGGAGTCAAGGATCAGAGAAGGCGAAAGCTCCGCCCAACTTTAACGCTCACCACCATTTTTTGTTCTCCGACTTTCCCTGTTAGCAGTAACTGTCTTCTACCAGTCGCAACACAGTTGTGACGTCTTCGCAATCCTAGCTTTAGTTGAAGACCAAATTCAGAGGAGGCTACTACAAGGACTTGTCACACCAGTGGGAGTTGGTTTCTGTTCTTTTCTGATACCCCTCGGTGACATAGGGTCAGAATTTCAACTGGAACTTTATTCTGTGATTGCAATTGTTAACTTAAAAGCAGCCGGTAGTTATTTCTTATTTGCATATTGCTTTTCAAATTAATTCCTTTTGCAGGTGGAAGAGAATGTGTTCTAGGCATTTTCTCCTAGCATTTCCTTCTGCCCAGCCAAAGCTAACTCTTGAAGGGATCTGAAGGTGAATGTATGAAGAAGGCATTATTACACATAATATGGATTTTTGGAAGCCCATTAGTTCATTTGTTTGTATGTCCTTTGGGAGGAAGAGTCTCATTTGGTGAAGACTTCTTAGGTGGGTGAAGCTGAAAATCTCAGAGTTCATTCATGGGCAATTAAAGATGTTTCACTACCCAGGACAGTGATGGAGGTGGGTGTTGGGGGAGAGAACTTAGAGACTCTAGGGGTTAACCCAGAAAACAAACTCTCATTCTGGGAAAGTTGGAGTATATCTGTGAAAGGTGAAAGATAGACTCAGATGACAGTGTTGCCTGAGTTGGCCTGGGAGATCACATGGCCAGAGGCTGGCTGGATTAGAGGGAAGGGTCAGACCAGGGGGCCCATTAAGTTATGCCAGCACAGTTAGGTCTGGAGTTTTCTTGGGATCAAGGAATGTGGAACTCAGTAAGCTTTTCACTGGTTTTAATGTTATTCTCAGAATAGGAAACCTGTACTTTGGACGTTACCACTTTTATTTTGTTTGTGGTTTCTATAATGATTTCTTTTTTGTTTTCCTCTAAGCTCTTTTTGAAATAGTCATCCTGACTCAGCTGGATCTTAGGAACAGGGAAAGGGACCTGTTTGTCCATTCTTAGGCCAAATAGGGAGCAGTGACTCTGGGGACAAGGCTTGGTGGTGGCCTCAGGAATCCCAGCAAGAAAACCCTAAGGGGGTTAGGGTTAGAAAAGCTTATTCTGTGGATTTCCCTGGTGGTCCAGTAGTTAAGACTCCATGCTCCCAATGCAGGGGGCCCAGGTTCGATCCCCGGTCAAGGAACTAGATCCCACATGCTGTAACTAAGAGCCTGCATGCCGCAACTAAAGATTCTGCACGCCACAACGAAGATCCTGAGTGGCACAAATAGGACCTGGTGCAGCCAAATAAATAAATAAAGATTTTAAAGAAAAAAAGCTTATTCTAGGAGCCACACATCCTTGTGCCTCTTCACTGAAGGAGTGTCCCTCCAGAGCTGGCCTGCTCAAACCTTGGTGGATTCTGGGCTTGAGACGGTGAGAAGGGATTCGTAGCTGGTCCTCTGTGGGCTCTACTTCTGCAAGTTTCTAGCTGCCTCCTGGGAGTTCTGCTGGTGAGTGACCTTGACTGGCATGGTGGACTCCCAGGGAGAGGCCCAAGCTGGACTTTGCCCCAGGAAGCAAACAGCATGGAAAGGGGTGTGGCAAGGCGTTGAACCCGAGGAAGGGAGAGAAAGTTGGGTTTGCCACTCATATCAGGATCCCGGAATGTGTGGGAAATAATGGGTGCTGGGTCCTGGTGACCGTCTCCTCCATGGACCCAAGAAAGACAACAGGGTGGTGCTATTTTGTTCAAGGCTATGAACAAGTGTGGGTGATGATTCAGTATACTGATGAAGACCAGGATGTGGAAGAAAGGGAGGAAAGAGGATGAGTAGGAGGACTCTGATGCTCCTGGCTGGAAGCAGAGGAGTGGGGGTAATAAAGATAAAGCACACTCCATGATCTGGGCTTCAGCACACACAAAAATATCTTTTCTAAGCCTTTTTCCCATAGCCATCCCCCCGCCAGCCATGAAATACAGAAGACTCTGGGCTGGGAAATCAGGCAGACCTGAGATTGATCCTGATTGCCACTTACTGGCTGTATGACCTTGGGCAAGTCCCATGACCTCTCTGAGCCTCATCTTTTACCTGGGGATAATTATCAAAAGGCCTATGTAGGGACTGAGTCATCAGTTATGTAAAGTATTTGACACGTGATAGACAATCAACAAAGTTACACACAGACACACACACACACACACAGAGGAGGGTCACTCACTATGTGGGAGGCCCTAGAATTTTGCCTCTCAGCTCTCTGTCCACCCTCGCCTCCTACCACGTCCCAGCCTCTCTGCTGCACACTGGAGAAATGGAAAGTTTTTCTCCTCTCCACAACCTCCTCTTTTGTTTCTCCAAGAAGGAGGCTGCCTTGCTGCTCCAGCGTGGAGAAAGACAAAAAGAGATGCCAGGGTGATCTGCTGTCCAGTTGGCAAGTCACCCAGCTCCAGGACTTGCAAAGCCCTCTCCCACTTTCCTTCCCCTGCAACTCTGACTCAGTTTCCAGTGTTGCTTCTGAAATCAGGTCAACATCGAAGACGTACTTAAGTTAGGCGAGGGAAATGAGGAGGTGTGTACTCCCACAGAAGCTCCTGACCTCTGAAATTAGTAGGGTAAATCTTCTAAGCCCAGCCTGATAGATGAAGAGGAGACTGTAGCTAAGAGGGCCACTGGGGTTGTTCAAGGCTGGATCTAGGAGCAGGCATAGAGCACTCTCTGCATTAGACTGCCGTGGTCCCCTGGGTTGCTTGGTGTGGAGAGGGTGTGTCAGGAGATTGATGGCACCTCCAGCCTGAAAGGGCTGCCAGGGCACAAATTTGGCAGGGGCTGGGGGAAGACTGCCATATGGCAAGGTAATTCAAAAGAAAGAGTTCCATTCTGCCTGAGACCCCTATAGGTTTTTCTAACTCTCTTGTGTCAGTCCAAAGCCCCTCTTCAAATTGCTTCCTATACTCATTGTCCCCATCAAATGGCGAATAGGCACACAGGCCAACAGTAGGGGGGTGGATGGAAAATGACATGAGACTCAATCCCAGAAGACCGAGTTCAAGTCCTGATTCTACCATTTAAGAGCTGAGCTGGGACTTCCATGGTGGTCCCGTGGTTAAGACTCTGTGCTTCCACTGCAGGGGCATGGGTTCGATCCCTGGTCAGGGATCCTGTATGCTGCGTAGTGTGGCCAGAAAAAAAAAAAAAAGGTTAAAAAGAAAAAGAGCTGAGCAATTTGAGGCAAATCATTAAACATTCCAGAGCCTCACTTTCCCCACCTGTAAAATGGGGGCAAACAGGGGTAGCATTCAAAATACTTAAAAATTGGTAAGTTATGAGTACTGACCTATGAGAATGGACACCAGGGGGCCTTAGAGCCAGAGCTGGGTCCTGGGAGGCCACATTGTGCCAGGCCTTAACCTTTTAGTTGCTGGGTTGTGGGGAAGCCTGCAGGTTTGGAGAGAGGACTGGGAGAGCAGCCGCAGCAGTGGAGAACTCAGCCAGTGACTACTCACCAACTAGTACCAAAGTATTTCCAGATTTTAACAACCAGTACAGCTACACTGGATAGTGATGGCATATTGGTTGCAAGTGAGACCTGAGGAAAAATCCTATCTCACCAGCTACTGTATACATGGTTATTTATTTTAAGCCAAAACTTGAAGTTCTAATTCCTTCTAATTCCTCCTGATCGGTAGAGGACCTGCGACCGCGTCTAACTGCTCTGTCCCTCTAGTCTGTGCAGGCTTCTCTGTGTTAGCTCTCCCAGCTGTCTTCCCCTACACCATCTCCTACAGGCTCTCCAGCTCCATGCCCCTCTGACCAGCACCATGGACAGTTCCAGCTGACCAGCCCATCCTAGGCCATCCCCTTCCTCCTGCCTTATCTCTCCTCTTACCCCACCCATGCCAGCACAGAAACCCTGAGGTATGAACTGAATGTAGGTCACCCCTGAGAAAAGAGTACAGTGGAGTGGTTCAGAACAAGCTCTGGAGTAAAGCCGACTGGATTTGAATCCCAAGCCACCAGCTCTCAGCTGTTTGATCGTATTCCTCCATTTCTATAACACCCAGATTGCTCTCTTGTCAACAGTGAAAACTTTAACAGCTACCTCAAAGGTCGTAAGGTTTAAGTGGGATAAAAGGTTTAAAGAACTTAGCACAGTGCCTGGCTCATTATATGTTCTGAATAAATAAAGAGCACCATTATTCTGTGACTTTCTATCCTATTTAATTCCTCAAACCCTTTTCCAATCCATCTCTGATGAGGGCCCTCTCTCAGGTATAGGTATTATAACATGACCACCAGCTTAGTGTAGCTGGCCTCCTTTGGTGTGAAAGTTGGCTTGGACTTCAAAGATGGTAAGGAAGCCAACCTTTGGTCCATGAGATTCTCTCTTTATTAGTTTTTTTTTTTGCATTTAAAAAATTTTGAGTTAATCTTAGACATACACCAAAATAGTACAAGTGGTTCTCATAAACCTTTCATCCAGTTTCCCCTTAGGTTAACATCTTACATGACCATAGGACGCTTATCAAAAAGAAGAAATTAATGTTGGTACAATGATACTATTAACAAAATTATAGAATTTATTTAGATTTCACAAGTTTGTCCACAAATCTCCTTTCCCTGTTTCAGTATCCAATCCAGGATCCCCCCTGGGGCATTTCCTGAGACTTTCCTTGTTTTTCATGTCCTTGATTCTTTTGAAGAGTACTGTCAATTGTTTTGTAGAATATTCCTCAATCTGGGTTTGTTTCTCATGATTAGAGTAAAATGTGCATTATTGGGAAGCATAACACAGAGTTACAGGCCCTTCTCAGGGCATGATATCAGAGGGTACATCGTGTCAATATGTATTTTTGGTGATGTTAACTTTGATCACTTGGCTAGAGT